CTATGGCAACATCTTGATGGAGACTTTGAAATAGAGCCTCCCAACAAGCTGAAAATGCCATGGCAAAAGCTGCAAACCGCATCAAATGCAAGACACTTGGGTCTGTCTCAAACTTGGGAATGGCCATGAATAACCCAATTTAGGTTTTGGACACCCAATTCAAAATTCCATAGACTCTATTACTCTATAGACCGTGGGTGACCATAATTATCCATTTACACATGTTCATTGCATCTCAGGCAGCTATGGCATGTAGTGGCATGCGATCATTGCCCTCAGCCAGCCTCATCATCAGTGTGCCAGCCCACCGCATGCGATCCATCCTCATAAAGATTCACATTGCAGCTATCTGGCCTCAGCTGAGCATCAATGGACCTCGCCAGTCCTCAAGGGCTTCAACCGTCTTAGGCTAGTTGGTAATATGATGTAATATGCCTAGAATTGCCTAGACGTGTTCATGAAGAAACAAATATTCATATAGATGGGAAGACCTCAAGATCAAGCCAGGAAGCCAAAATGCATGGCCCTTCCCAGTGATGTTACAACTGAGTTACAAGCACCACCAGGCGTTCCGGGCCATTCCTCCTCACTGATATGGCTGAGGCGCGAACCATTCCTCCTCGCTCTTGCCACAGTAGGGCATGTAAGTTCCTGGCGATGTTGGAGCGATGGTTTGATGGTTTGGGTGGGTGGTTTGGATTCCTGGTCCCAATAGTAATAGTACAGTATGCGAATAATCCCTCTTCGAGTTTAAAACCCACCCCAAATCACCAGTTGACCATTGGTTGATCAAAAGGATGGCAGCCCTGAAAAGTAGATGCAGCCAGCTTCTGCTTAAGGCTTAAGATTTCAGAGGGCAAAGTGGAGAGGGAGGTGAGTCACCAGCTTTTCCACCAAGCTTGCAGTCATTTACACAACTGGACATATTCCGTCAATTCGGAAGGGCTGATATCTGCTGACACCGCCGTTGATTCCTCTGCGACACACCCCCAATAAGACAAGTCCAGCATACGAAGGAGCTCAGTCATCCAGTCAGGAAATTCCTGGGTCGATAGCAGTGTTCCAGATGGCCATCATCAATCACAAGTATTGATCTTCATGACAGAGAAAGGACGCGACATCCTTTCAAACTATGGGTAGGTCAAATTTAGAGCGTTTTTGCATATTATATTTATATCTCTCTCTTGACATATATATCGGTATAACGTGGTATAACTTGGTATAACATGGTATAACATGGTATAACTATATAATTAATTACTATAATTCATTCCAGCATATAGAAACACAGTACGTGCAAGTACATATCATTACGAATTCACTCAACCGAAAGATGCCCACGCTGAAGATCAGTGAAATCCAAGATCTCCCCCTGCGGCCCCAGGCCCGCCTGTGGTTTGATAGTAACACCTCGGCCAGTTTTCATGGTCATTTCCGAGAAAAAAAAATCCAGGGCTGATATCGGATGTATCGGATGTATCCATTATGGATGCTGTATGATGCTGTACTGGATCGTATTTCTGATGTTTTATGATGTTTTTTGGAGCCCTGGATATGAGATTAACATTGAGCAACCTAGCAGCTGCGCAGTGTCACTCCTGCTTAGTTCCCTTGTTGACTTGGCATCCCAGTAAAGGGTTGTAGGCACTCAGTCGCAGTGATCAAATCCGGCCAGGGCTCAAGTTTGGTTCCACGATCTTGTTTTGTCAAGCTTGGAACCAAGGTACCACCATATCTGTAAGGGCATTGGCAGCCACTTTTCACCTTGGAACTTATCCACACCAAGATCACGTCAACTGCAGCAACTGCAAGAATCGTAGTAGCTTGTACGATTTGAATCGATTTGATACGTCTTTTCGTGTGACTAATATGGCATGAAGCAGTGGCCGCCACAAGGAACGCAGTGCTAAGAAGGCCAGTGTGGTCCCAATATGTCTCAATAGAGTCTATAGAGATTTCATTGCTCACACTTTCAAATGACGAAGCGCGTGGAGAAACAAGCAGATGCGAAACGGCACAGCCCGGCACATTCCAAATATCATAGTAATCATATGTAATCATATAGTAATATTTCTGATATCATGCTGCTGTCCTCAAGGCCCAAGTTCCTTCCATTGGTGTTGTGGAGTAAGGCTCGCGCCATCCAAACTGTCTTACGAGGCAACAGTCCCTGCGGACCTTCAGGTTGTTCCCACGCCGTCTTGCCCTGCATCAAGGCAATGAAAAATATGATTTTGCAAAGCGTGATCCAATCAATCCAATCTTCAATAAATCTTCACTACTTTGCTTTGCTCTCTCTTCCCTGGCCCTTGCCACTTTGTGCTCCCGGCATAGATGGTCTTGAAAAAGTCGCCCAAACGAGCACTTGGAACCTGAGCAGTTGCCGTTTTGCCATGATTTGCCTGGATTGCAATTTGCAGTTTTCTCCCTTGAACTCATGAATCACTCAGAAGTAAATCATCGTAAATCTGCTTCGCACCTCGATTGTGACTGTACTCTAAAGCCATCTAAAGCAAATGCCCAGTTGAAATCCGCTGAGCTTCTGTACTGGAGATGGCATGAAAGACGCGTAGCTGCGACGCGACTCGTCACTCAAGACCACTTTCCACTTCAAGCCCTGGCAAACCAATGCATGACCACATTCAGATGATTTTAGATGCAAGATTAGTTGCTTCCCAAGTTGGCCATGGGCTCCCAACTGTGGCACACCCATTTACAGGTATAAGGTATAAGTATAATTATGACATTTCATGACCTGTTGCTATTACATGTTTGTCGCTGCAGTGATTTCCCACGGCCTTTGGTGCCATCTCGTGAATCAGCTTCAAACCATTGGACGAACGAGGCTCCTGTGGCTTCAAATGAGTACCCGGATCATTTCGCAACACAACAGGGACAGTACCGATAAGGATCATTTCTCAACACAGATCACTAGTTTTAACTTGGGGAGCAGGGGACAGAGGTTGGGGTTGAGGGGGACAGGGGGGAATACGGGTAGGGGTTGGGGGGAGACAAGGGGGACAACATGCACAGGGATTCCAACTAACATTACAACCTTGTAGGGTTTAACCTGGATAGGGGACAAAGGTAAGGGGTTAAGGGGGGACAGAGGGCACAGGATGCACAAGGACTCCAACTAACATTACAACCTTTTAGGGTTTAACCTCAGGGGGAGACAAAGGAGGTTGGGGCTATCCTATTTTATTTCATTCCACGCGAGGTTTGCTCCAGGGCTGGCACCACAGAAACCTTTGCAATCATTTACACACAAAGGTTTTACACGCAAAAGCTTCCAAACAAACAAGCCTTTACACAGAGCAGCTTTTGCACACAAATACCTTTACACACAGAAACTTGTACACAGACAAGCCAGAAGCCTTTACATTGAGCAGCCTTTTCACACAGAAGCTTTTGCACGCAGACGCTTTTACAAAGCCCTTTTACACAGAGAACCCTTTACACAGAGAACCTGTTGCACACAGACTGATGATGATGATGATGATGATGATGATGATAATGATGATGGAGATGGAGATGGAGGTTGCTTCGTATGATCCCGCGTTTCAAACCGAACTCCTTTCCGCTTCAGATCTACATAATGGTCCCAGCAAAGCAGCAAAGCTCCTCCCAGGTGTCGCCCCACTTTGGAGGTGGTTCTCCTGGGCCTGGAGTCAGGCACCAGCAGATCCTGGATGGTTTACCCAGGTGCCCCTCTACAAAATCTAACCTGGAAAGGGAACATCTACTTTTTACGGATGATTTGTTCCATGATGTTTACTGACATTCCTTATTCATCCTTATTCTATTCCATGTTCCCGTCAACGATTGGTTTTCTCATTGTCAGGTTGGAGTGCCGGAGGGTCATGCCATCCGGGAAACAAGGCTGCCAAGGCCCTGGCTTTTCCTGCCATGAAGATTTACACAGAGGGCAAGTCCGAGTCCAAACAAGTCCAAACAAGTCCAAACAAGTCCAAACACCTTGCCCTGCTGGAGACACAGTACACCTGTTCCAACCTGACCCAGGCAGATACCAATGATGAAATGAATCGATTTCTTCCAATTTTGCCCGTGAGACGGCCGGCGATTCTTCCGTCGCCTTAGTTCACAATTCCAAAACAGCTGGGAGTGGCAATGAAATCTGGAGTGCATCGGCAAACAGAACCAAAGTTGGTGACTTTGTGAAACAAATGTCTAATAATGATTAATAATGCATATACTCCTGTATGATGAAGCCAAGTGACCTTTTCTTTGCCCGCTTTGGTGTGTTGCTATGATCCCTGAACAAAAAAATCTGCAGAGACCGAAATCAAGCCAGAAATGCACAGCAACGTTGCAAAGCTGGCAGGATTGTAGGCTCCATTTGAACTGGTTACTGTATATTGATGTATATTGCATATCTGCAGGCTCCATTTGAACTGGTTACTGTATATTGATGTATATATACAGCATATCAATATCTCCTGGTTGTAATCACTGGCAGGTCAATGCTGGCCTTTCTTCCGCTGAATCCTTGGGTTCCTTCCTCATTCCTGACATGTCCGGTACCGAAGCAAGCATAATTCACGTCGGACAGCACCCGAGAGTTCAGCATCGTTCGAAGTCACTTGTCTTGGCAGAAACATGCAGAAACATTCTCCGCAGGGAGAGCCTGGTGTTGTTTGGCCCATTTTGGCCCAAAAAACAGCAAAAAAAACTGTGTTCATAAACATATGGTAGTCCAATGCATTCTAGTGATCTGGCAACATCGATTTCCCATGACTGTTCTTTGTGATGTGAGGGCCGTGTTGGCCTGACACATCAGATCAGTGAGACTCGAGGCGAAGAAATACATCGCGTTTGCGATTTGCACCGAACTATTTGCTGCTTGGTATGGTTCAAGTCAGCACCTGGGCCTACAGTAGCATCTGCACACTCACCAGATTATTTGGAAAAAAAGACTGCATACATCAAGCAAACCCAAACAATATCAACAAACCACTATCCACGGTGTTCTGACCTAGGTTTCCACAAGCAAATGTTGGCAAACGAATGGCAAATGCAATTGAATGAGGATGTCCCTCAATTCATCTACTAGGAGTCCTATATCTACCATTGCTTCCAAGCATTCCAAGCCGGAAAAGCCGGACATGTTCAGCCATGTTCAGCCGCTCACAGGTGCGGAATGTCTGAAGGTCCTTTCATCAGCTTCCGGGCGATGTCCTTGCACTTCACTCGGCCCAAGCCATCTCTGGGCAAACCCGACAAAATCTTGTCCACTTCCCCGAAGGTGACCGCGTCCCCAAAGCCATGCAGAATTTCCTGCGGAAATTCAACTTTGCCACCAAAAAAAGGCAAAGCCCTTGTGTTTTAGGGGCAGGGGGTCTTGGCCAATCTGCTGATGATTTCTTGTGCCCAGATTTCACACGTTGCAAATTTCAAATGATAGTTGACTATCATACACTGATTCATACAATATGAATCAATATGATACAATACGGATCAATACGTTAATTATGTGCCCAAACACGCACAAGGCTGGCGCCTTGTTAAATCGTGAAATTCTTGGACCTCGAGAGATCTAAAATGAGCAAAGACTTCCGCGGCCGAGTCACATGGAAATTGGAAATTCGAGTAAGGAATGATGGCAAGGGCGAATAGCATATTAAACACCCTGCAAAAGGAATGAAAACCTTCCACCAGACATCAGGAGACGCCAAGCGGACTATGGCAATATCCACCTGCTCTTGGCAAGAGTTTTGAAAGTTTTGAATGTCTTGACGCCAAAACCCCTGCAAAAACTGTCCCTGTCCTTCAGCCCCTTTGGCTCAAGTGTATCAGTCTTCGTCAGGTCCAAAGTTCTCAGGGCATCAAAAAGTTGGTATTCGTTGAGCAAGGGCTTCTCGGCAGCCGTTTCGTAGAGTGACAAGAAATCTTCCAGCTGGATACCTGAGTATAAAAAGTTGGTCAAAACGCAACACCTTGCCCTAGGTGGAATCGAAGCGATGGAAAAATATGAAAAACATGAACATACTCGAGAAAGTTCAAAGCACCACAAGAATCACAAGAATCACAAGATGTTTTTCACATTTCTTCACCAAAAGACCTTCATTTGGAACTTTGGTCATCAGCTCCTTGAGATCTGCTGCAGTTGGGGCTCTTCCGCATCCACGAAGAAGTTTGGGCACTTCCACCTTGGGGACGACTAATGGTAAGCCCTTGCGTTTTCGGGCCCGCCCACCTTCGGCCATTAGTCCCAGGAATTCAAAGCCCTTGGCCATCTCAGTCCTTTGTTCCTTCGTCAAGCTGGCGCCTGGCGGCACTTGAATTTCCATTACGGAATTGATGGAGAAGGCAAAAAAGGCCGGGCAGGCAAGATTGAACTGCAAAGTTTGAGCCAAGACCCTCTTCATGCATGACCAAGTCAGAAATCCGAACGAACATGAAGACATATGAAGACCACAATCGCCCAGTCTCAAGCTCAGATACATCTTCTGCATCCACCCTTGTTTATGTGTTCCATCACCAACAATTAATATGTGCTTGGCCGCTTCAACCCATCCTATAAAGATACGTTCGTAACTGAAGATAATCATCCTAAATACATGGTGGTTGAATGTCGTTGACTACAAACGAATATCTCAAAAAATCTGAAAGTGCCTGGTGGATCTGGCGGTGTCAAAGACTTTGTGAACACCGTTGCCTGTTGATGCCACACATTGCCACAAGGGTCCCTGTAGCATCTCATGGCCTTTTCGTCCACCCTGTCGATGATGAATCTTCGGCCGAGCCTGTCCCGAAGCCCAGCAGTCATATATTTGAACCAGTCATCCTCATTAGATATCATTCGATATCATTAGAATTCTACGATATTCAACATCCCATCCAGATAGGTGACTATGATATACTATGATCTTTGCGCAGGTGCATCATATTCTCATCATAATCTCAGCTGGAGTGGATCAGCAAGCTGTGCTAATCAGACGCCTCTAGTCGCCCATAGCCGATGTCTTGATTCATAGGTGGAGGGCCGTACCTCCAGGCTGGTGCTGGCATCGCTGGCATCACATTCCACCGGCTTTGTTGATGTCTCTGGTAGGCTGTTTCGGGTGTTTAATGGTGTTGACTTGGTGGATTTTTAGGGAAGGTATCTACAGTAATTAGTGTCGTCATAGCGTCACTAATGTGACCCATGATAGAACTTCGGATCAGCATGATCAGCCCGACAGCCCAACTGTGAAAAACCGAACTCGCCACGGTTTCGCCCCAGCTGACCCCAGCTCCTCTTTTGTTTTCAGCTGCTTCACATCCGCCGGTCACACTTTGGACGTTGCTTCGGCAAGCCGCAGCTGGAGATAAGATCTTTGACCAGTCATTCTGACTGATTCTGACTAATTGCCCGCTGGATCTTGGAGGCAGGATATGACAGGCCATTGAACAATTGCTAAATGCATCTACTATAGGTGGGTTATCACATGTTATCACTATCCCTATAGCATAACCATGTAGTATATAATTATCTATGTCATAACTAATCATAACTAATCAACAATGGGTCATTTTGAATCGCTCACCTTTTCTTGCCCACTGGATTGTAGGCCATGAAGGTGGCTATGGACTTCAAAAGCTCTTGGTCGCCCACGGCTTGAGCCCGACTGTTGATGTGCAAGACATCCTGCATGCTACCCAAGCGCTGCGCAATGTGAAAGGCACCCTGCAGGTTTCCAATCAGAATCCTTGGAGGTGCTGAATAGGAGCCCATGGGGGAAAATTAAAACACCTTTAAAAATGAGTCAGTATAATTATATCGTGGGATTTCCCATTGGGGAGAAAATTTAATATAGAACATAATGATCTTCGGCTTAAATCCGGGAATCATGGCATCCATCTTACATCTTTCATCCTGAATGAAAGGCACCAACTGGGATGCAGCAGAGCGATCTGCATTCAACTCCTCCTTTTCGATGATCCAAATGTTCACGACGTTGGACACCAGGCTGTCCCATTCCACTGGTGGCAACTTGGGAATGGCCTGAAGGAACTTCACCACTGGAGCGATGGATCCCCCCACGCCATTGCGCGCCTGCTGTGTTGCGATCTGGTTGGAAGCGCGGATACACAGCTCCACCGCAGGGAGGTCCAGGAAATCCATGACTTTCTGTGCCAATTTGAAGTGACCATTCACCATCAACAGCTCTGCCACTTCACATTGTGCTGGCAGGTCCCCAAAGAGGGTGGCATTCTGTGGCATCTCAGTAGGCATGGCCTCACAAACGGCTCGTTGGATGCGGACCGTCTCCAAGTTGCGCTTGATGTCGGTGGCACCTGCTTCGTTGATGTCTCCAGCAGCTTCTCCAGAGATGATCGCTTCATGGGTTACAGCGGTAGTGGCGCTGGCATCGGGCACATCTGCACCGCCATCTTTACTTTCACCCTTCCTTTTGCTCATGACCTTTCGGTGGGCAAAGCCCAAGTGTGCTTCAGCATTTTGCAGATGTCCTACTCTGGCATCCCAGGTGGAGGATTGTACAAAGAGCTGCACAGCCAGGAAGCCAGCATTCACATAGTTCTTGGTAAAGACTTCATATGAGTAGAGCAAGTCCAATGCACGTCTGTCACGCAGGAAGTCCTTGACGGAATTCAGGTACTCCTGCACCCTTCGCAGGGATGGATCAAAGTCCAAAATGACCTGGCAGTGTGTCAAAACCTTGTACCCCTGGTGAACATCAAAATAGCTGGTAAATGGATGTTCCCCCTAAAAATGGTATTAATAGGTATTGATCCATACCCACCTTCTGAAGCTCATGGAATTGATTGTGCGCCAGGCAATGATGCGCCACCACATCTACGAAGAGGCGCTTGTCAACCTTCTCGCTGAAAATGAACTGACAAGCTTTCGCCAGCCTCCGTTCCCGAACCAGCAAACTGATCAGGGATTCAGCAGATCCATATTTGTCTTGGAATTGAAGCAACTCTTGAAATGCCTGAGAACTCAAAGGCCTGCCAAGGCCTTTAACTCCAGCCAGATTCATTGGAGCTGCCAGGGGCAAGGCCATGGGGCTGGCAGGCATAAAGCTATGCGTTTGCCGATCCTCAGGCCAAAAATTGCTGGGACTTCTCAAGTTATGCAAGGTGGCCGAACAAGCGCAACAGACACTCGCCATGTCCATGGTTAGCTTGTCGTAACTGATCTCAGGGATCAAATTGGCATCATCTTCCTGTGATTGGTGGCTTCAACCCGCCAATCCCAAAAATAAAAGCCTGCTGGGGGTCGCAAAATCAAGAACATTCAAGAACCGTATCCCATTGTGTTTGGTGAACGGAAAAGGTATCCAATGTATCTTTAAAACATAGTGAAACTAACCGTAACTAACCAGTCCTCTTCAAAGACTGGATCTGCCACCTCCTCGACCACTCCTTCTTCGGGTCGATCTTTGTCCCGAGATTTCTCATCTGCAGCAGATTGACCTGGATATCCTCCTGATGGGTTGCCACAAGGACCCCGGATACAAATTGTACCAAGAAAACGATGGTGAAATCACCAATGCTTCACCCCTGGTGGCTATCTTTTACCTATGGGTTGGAGCAACCCTGTCCTGGTTTGGGTTCTTCAGGAGCTTTCACTTCAGCAGAATTGGCATCAGCCTTTGGATGGCCAGCCTTCAGGGTCCCCATCCAACATTCCAAGATTGTCCAATAAAACCATCAATGCCTGATTCCACACACCCCCTTCCAAGCATGAATAGAATGCCGGTGAATTATATACCAAATCATTCAGTACCAGAAAGACTTATATAAAGGTGTCTGATGATTCGCACCTTTGCTGTCTTGTTGCGTAGGGTGACCATGTCCGTCAGGGTGGACCAGCGCGACATTTCTGAGGGATGGATGGGTGGCGTGAGGAAAGTCACAGAGTTCACCAAGGTCGTCTGTTGCACGTCTTTCACCTTGGCAGCCTTGGCAGTGGCCATATCCAAACGTCATATCCGCAGGATCTGATTCATACAAGATACTACTGATATTCAATCGTGCTCAGCCCACACATCCTGTCCTTGCCGGGGCTTCCACATTCATCAACAATATAAATAGTTCCTGAAGCATCCTCAAGTGAATGTATCATCATTTATCAGTTATATCACTACATACTGACGGTTACAACCCAATAAATATGATTGTTAAACTACTGTCAAACGACTAGTCTACCAGGGATATATATATATATATATATATTAATTACAGTAACTATACGCAACCCCCCCCCCTTTCGCCCACGCAACTTTTGGGGGGTTGCAAAGGATATTGGTTGAAGGGAATCTTAAAGAGTTTCTAGGGGATCATCAAGTCCCCACCACCCGTTAAACTTTATATTCAAGGGAATGTTCAAGGAGTTTAGGATTTAGGGTGTAGGATTTAGGGTGTAGGATTTAGGGTTGATGATGTTGATGATGTTGATGATGATAATAATGACGATGATGATGCTGCAACATTCAACGCACAGGTTGCTAAGCTGTGCGTTGCAAGACGAAAGCCATGATCATGGACATGTGCATTTTGTCCCACAAAACACAGTGTTTTTTAATGGTCGGACAGGTGGACGTCGGCGCGGGCAAGAGGAATGGTTCGCCCGTAACTATACTCTTGGCTGTACATCAAATATAGAACATTGCAACATTACATCAAAATCTCTCTCTCTCTCTCTCTGTCTCTCTCCATCGCCATCTCAGGGAGATCAGCAGTGAAGCTGAAGGATATATCCTCATGAAATTGTCATCAACTTGTCATTCTATCAAGCTAAATCGCAAAATGCGAGATATTTTCGGAATATCTGTCACTGTACAATATCAATACAGCATCAAAAAATACCATAAAATCTCATAACTCATAACCAATATTACACAAGTATAATATATCCCAATCAATTACTATAATTAATTATATCGGTGGGTTCTTATAATGGGGAATCCCCGAAACCATAGTGTCAATACTAAAATAGCCTAATTTTGATAAATTTTGGATGATTTGGGATATCCCAACACCATCCGCGCAGCCCAGCCACGTCATTCCATTTGCTCCGTCGATGTAGCGCATCCCGTAGCCGATCCTCCAGCGCCGACGCAGAGGTCGCCGGAGCGGTCGCCGTGCCGTTCTGGGCGCCCGCCTTGCGCATCTTTTATACGAAATGTTGAGGATTTGTTGGCTGGATTTACGTTGAATAATATAAGTACATATATATAATATATATATGTAATATATATATATGTAATATATAATATATATATATATGATATACCAAGATATATCCATGCATAATCATGTATACAATGTGTACATATATATAATATAGGTACGTAGTGTATTGTAATGTAATGTTGTGTTACGTAATGCAATGTAATTTATTTATGTATGTAATTATGTATGTAACAATGTATGTGTGTGTTTTAAACAATAAATTAATACTAGCTAAATTCTATGAGATCTATTTACAGTAGATATTGTGAGATGTATTGAAAACCACTAGACAGTACTAGAAGGTACTAGATATTATGCTGGAATGTTCCCAAAGATGGACCCTGCAACTAGGCCACCTTTGCATTGAAAACAGTTTCCGGAGATTGGCTGATCGGCACAACTGGCACAGAAACTGCTTCTTCTGAACAGTCCGGCTGCATGAAGATTGGCAAACTGGCCATGGTGGCCTCAGAGCATCGCGGTCTGAACCCCTTGAAACCAAGGTTTCAGTCCAAACCTTTAAGGTTGGGGTCCAGTATATCCTCCAAACTGGCTACTTACCATTGGATAGGCTTGGGGGCGGCAGATTTGTAAGAAAAATCGTGGCCTTCAGATCGATGCTTCCAAACATGGTCAATGCCCAGCACTGCTGGAGATTTAAATGACAAACGCTGCTACTGTTCATATGCTCTCAACGAAAAGTCAAACATCCATTCGATGTTCTGCCTATTATGGACCCCCAAAACAGAATAGATCCATTTCAAAAACGACAAACCAAAGCTTCTGGATCGTGTTTTGAGTGCCAGACCGACTGGGACCTAATACATTGATTTTTTTACAAACATCTTGAAAGTGTCGCAATACCTATACAATCATACAATCATATACAGTACATACATGTACACTGGGACGTGAAAGTCAGTGCATATGTGGAACGAAGGTAAAAGCTGCATGGGACGCCGCGCATTCAGGAAGTCAAACAAGTCAATGCAATCAGGTCTAAAACACCATGGGACGCACTATATATAGAAGTGTTATTTTTAGATCCCTGGCAGTGCACTTTTCTATTGCCAAATTTTCCAAATCCCCATCAGGACGCGTGTGCACAGTTATGTCCCACAATCTTAAAAATATATATCCACGGATGTTAAAAAACACCATGTGGACGCTTATCCAAACATGCACATTGATACCTACGCCATTTACTAGAACTTGCGCCAGCCGCATGGCTGGCACACCGCTTACGCCAGACAAAATCTCTTGCTTCTCTGCCCAAAAACCGCGCCTTGCCCAGAAGCAGCAACACAAGCAACAACAACAGCAGCAGCAGCAGACCAAGCAGCAGACCATGGCAAAGCCTTTCCAAAACCTCTCCGGGCTGGGTTTTGACTGGCTGCAATTTTAACGAGGTCCGAACGAGGTGCAAACGAGGTCCAAACGAGGTCCGAAATCAGATTTTGGGAGACTGACCCCCTAAGTCTCCTGACAAACTCTTTGGTAGCCACACGCTTTCGCATTCTTTTCAGAACAGTTAGACTCAAGAGCTTTCAGCGGTGGAGCAGAAGAGGAAACCAAGCCAAGCAGCAGCTGCAGGCAAGAGCAAGGAGAGCAAAGGGACGCAAGCTTGGCAAACAAGTATACAATTGCCACGGCTTTCATCTTTGGGAGTATAGTGGGTAAACCCAAAAAGATATGACAGGTAAGCGTCGTGTGCCTATGCGAAGTGCCAAAAAATACATCAGTAAGTTAAAGTGATAGACGCTGCCCATGCGGGCCTTTCCCCATAGGCACTTGTTATAACATCGACCCAGTATTCGTCGGTGTTTGTATGAATCTTGCACAACAGAGTGTTCCCAAAACACAAGGGAATAGCTACAACCATCTGCATGGTATCCATGAAAAACTCACGATAAACCATCAATTGGAGAAAACACAAACATGATAAACACCAACTGGACGCAACATCGCACCGACTTCCAGAAATTTCTCCCCCACCTAGGACGCACATTTCATTGAAACGCTTTGACTTCCACAACTAGGAGTACATTGTCCTTGTGGGTGCCCACTATTATTGTGCGATCCACGGATTTCAAAGTGAGCAACAGTGGAGCGGTACAACTTTCTCTGCAAGCGGTTGAAGGTGTAAATGCTTCGCTGCTGCTCCAGGGCAGCCAAGTCGTACAGGGGTGGATAGCGCATCGCATCCTCAAAGGCACTGAGCGCATTTTCAGATGCTTGTCGGCCAGCAGAGCCTGCCTCATCAGTCATGCTGAATTCCTGTCGAGCTTCTTCAAATAAACTGAGGCGTTGAAGTGCCACTGCCTGGGCTTCCCTCACTGGATCAGCTGAAATGTGCCAGCCCTGGGTCTCACTTCGCTCCAAGGGCGAACATCGCTTGCACAACTCCAAGGCCAAGTGGAGGTGATCTTCCTTCACCAAGGCATCCCTTAGCTGGGCAGCCTCTGTGGCATCACAGAGCTGGGCCAAGCTGACCCTCTTGCCGCTGACATGCCATAGACGCGGCAGGAAGTCCAAGTTGTTACAACTGAGTTGCAGCTTCAGTTGGACTTCCCGGCCACTGCCAGCACTGCCAGCACCCGAAAATTTGCTTTGCAGGTACTTCAGTAAGCGCCTAATCAGAAATGTCAACAAGCGAGCTGACTTTGCTGCAGGTGGCTGAGAAGATGAAGCGTCAGAAGTCGTCAGATCGTATAAGCGAAGGGAGAGATCATCACAAATGTGGAAGCAAGCAGCGGCATTCTCGGGACCATCAGAGCAAAGCTCCAAGATGCGTTCTGCCAAGTGGCTACTGGGTGCATCTTCAAAGTGGTGATGAGAACGAATCACTTGATCTGTCACAGACCCTGTCAAACACCATGGTCCGCCAAGACCTTCTGAGTCCATCGCAGATCTTGGCACATCAAAAGATGCTGCTCGAGCGTCCTCGCCTTGCTCTCTTTGATCAACTAGACCCAGGGCCTTGCGAGCATAGCGTAGAATCAGCTGGTCATGACGGTATTCCGGAAAATCTTCCAGGAACTTTTTGAGGAGATCCACCCGAGCATTCATCAGAAGGCTTTCCACAATCAGCTCAGGCTTCCTCAGCAGCTTTAGGAAGTGCGGTTTCATGGTCTCACTAACCTCCTGCAGCAGTTGCAATGACGCCAGAAGTACACGAAGCCTTTCCTCCTCTGCGGACGACAGCCACGATTGAAATTGAGTGAGGAGCATCTGGCATAAAAGCGCCCGGTGCTGGATCACGTCAAACATGTCTAGCAGTTGCAGTGCAAAGGAAACTGCCTGTGAAGGAGGAAGTGAGAGCAGTCGGTTCACCGCATTGGTCTTGTCGTTTTTGGTAGTGAAAAGGTAGTGCAAGCGCGACAGTTCTAGAGAGTGCAAAGGATCTGTCATGCCATACCTCAGCGGATGTGTTTTGATCTTACCAAGACCTTCCAATCAAGTTCTGACATGAGGAATAGGGTGGGAAAGCCGTAGAATAAAACACATATGCCACAACAAACCAAGTCAAAGTCACTACTATGCAAACAAGACATAACAAAACCCCAAAAAGGAATACAGTATGAAAAATTGCAAAAGAAAAAGACTTCATCAGCAAATGGATGAGTACATCTGCGCCAGTGTCCTCGCCATGTCATGCTGCTGAAGGGAAAGCAAATGCTCAACAGCTTCACTGACCTGCGCCTTGCCTGGTTGCTTCAGCAAACGCAGCTTCTCTGGGAAAAATGTGCCGACTATGTGGTTGTGCTGTCATTGTAGCTATTTCTTGGGTTGAGTACTGAGTACAGCTTTGGACTTGCGCATGGATGTGCGACCGAAGTTTCAGACTCCTCCTTGAATTCATGTCAGTCAAAATCTGTAGTCTTGGTGAAATGTCACAGTCTGCACCATATCCATCGAGGTTTTTTTTTGAGAGAACGGGGGCAGAAACAAAAAGTGGACTGTTAGGCTGCTAAACCCAGTTGCTCATATCTTCGATTTCCTGCCAAACTTGCCATCGCCCCTCTGATGCCTGAAGGATCTTCTCAAATGAGACCTAGCTGCTGCAGAACAACCCTGGCACATCAAAGTAAACACAGTCCGACCACAACATGCAACAAAACCTGCTCCAATTCTGGATTGTGATGGTAGCGTTCAGTGTTCAGGGGCTACTGTAGAACTGCAACAGGTGAAGCCAAGCTACCATCCTTTGCAGGATTCGCCGGAGTTCCTGCTTCAAAGCAGCCGCGCGACTGGCCTCAGTGTTACCTGAGGGCTCTTGTTCAATGCGTTGCAAGCACATCGACAGGGTCTGCACGGCAGTATCCACATCCCAACACTTGTAGCGATCCAGTGTCAATTGTGCAGCTATTGCGTGGCTTTTCACACGGTACATGCACTCATGATCCAGCAATTCGTGCACTGCATCCGTCTCTGGTTTCGTAGCGCTGGGGCTATTCAAGTAAAGATGCAGGACCTTGTCAGTCAGCAAACTATCCACCGGCAAATGCTCATCACAAATCTGCAGGGCTAGCTCATGCCGTCCTTCTGCAATGAGTGCATTCACCAGCTGCGTATATGCAGCTGACATGCAGGCCTCCTGATCATCACCCGCAGCTCTAAGGGCCAGCTGCTCATCTTCACTGAAACTTGCAAACTCAGCTTCCGTATAGCCACTGCATTCCATGCCATCTGCCAGTGCTTGCTGACTCTGGGATCGGCCCAGTAGTAAGGGGGGCAAACCTCTGGCAGCTGGATGGGAAGAATCCACCCATTGAATGGCCTGCAAAATGGTTTGCCGTTCCTCCACCCATCGGTGTAAGGCGGGGAAATGGTGGCTCTGCTCCTTTGCAAAGTGTAACATTTGCCACGAGGGCCAGCGATGTCCACGGCATTCCAAGCATGCCAGGGTCGCCAGCAGCGGCGCCTCCTTACACAAAACCAACGGCAACTCCCGCTCGTGTTGAGCCAGGTATTGGACCACCTCCATAGACATGGGATATTCAGGAAGTGAAGCGAATGAATTTTGGCCTCTGGGCTGCACTCCATCAGACCACTTGAAGGATGAATTCACAATCACCTCCACGATGTCAATGTTCATCATCTCTGACAGTGCTAATGCTTGCCGATGGCCGCCCAGCTCGAACAGCAGTCGGGCCACGATGCCTTTGGGAGCTTCGGCGAGCACATCAAACAGCTTGGTGACACCTGCTGCTTCTGGATCTTCCTCATCACCTTTGGCATCTGCTTCATGATCTTCATGGCTTTCAAGGGCAATGGTCACCGTTTCGCGCGTTTCGCGCTTCTCACTGGGCACAGCTAGGGCACTTGGGGCGGTGGCCTCTGTCTTGCCCTTGGGTTTGCGCAAACCAGCGTCCAGGGAAGCAGAGTGCATCAAGTCAGCGACGCGTGCCAAGTACTCCAAGAAGCGCAGCAAATACCTCTGCCAGCCGAAAAATGTTTGATTTTTTGTGAGCCGTAATTAGTCAAAAAAAAAAGTCCGGCACAACTGCACACCTGATCCATATACATCTATATACATGTTTGTTGGTCTCAAAGTCGGGGTTCCCCAAGAAATTGGTGGCATTTAAAAAATGAGCAAAACATAAACAACGAATGACAACCTGATTTTCTAGATCATTGGAATACCATCAGATTGAATTTAGGATGCGCCCATGATCAGCTCATATCAGCTCCCCGCGCCTAGAGGATCCCAAACCTTCAGAGATCTGCACCGCTTCTTCACGGTCCTCAGGTGCCTTGGAATCTTTGGAGGAGTCCTCCTCTTCACGGTTGAAGGAAGTGATGGTGGTGGACAGGAAATCCACCAAGGTTCTCCTCATCCGAACGCCACATCCGAAGGGATTCGAAGGCACAGTTCTGTGGAGTTTCCCTTGTGTTTTTTGGGTCTAGCATGGCCTAGCTCGATCTGAGTTGCCAATCCCAGTCCATCATGAATTTTCATCAAGTGACAACTCGTGTGATTTATGGGAAAACGATATTGATTTTGAATTTGTTATGTGGTCCGGATTTTTTTTTTTTGAGTAAAACCCAGCGGAGAGTTGGTTCATCATTACCTTAGCCTTGTTGAAGGTGTACAAAAAAGTGTTGGCTTCATATAAGGCCAGGCTGACTAAGTATCATGTCATGGGTTCGGCTGAATGCTGATGGGCTTTCCGATCTTAGCTGTGCACAAGATACACAAGGGTGGCAAACAAACAAAGTGGCTTCCCATGAAAGGAATCAGTAGGAGGCCATCGTTGTAACATACGAGTAGTTTTACCCTTTAACCAACATCATTACCAACATGGCATCATTATCAACATGTTCAACATCTACCAGTAGTACCGCACAAGGCGGTGGCGGAAGTTTCAAAAATAGGAAACCTATAGGAGAGGTCGGTTGTTGTGAATCACGGATGGCAGAGCGAATCCACTGATGGACCGAAAGGTGCTGAAGGTCTCCTCTCTTTCTCTCTCTTTCTCTGACTATCTACCTACCTACCTACCTACCTACCTACCTATCTATCTATCTATCTATCTATCTATGTATCTATCTACCTACTATCTATTGATCTATCTATCTCTCTCTCTCTCTTTCATCTAATTATCCATCTATCTATCTATCTATCTATTTATCTATCTATCTATCTCTCTCTCTCTCTCTCTTTCATCTGTCTATCTGTCTAGCTGTCTACCTGTGTATCTGTCTATCTGCCTATCTATCTATCTATCTATCTATCTATCTATCTGTCTGCCTGTCTATCTGTCTATCTGTGTATCTATCTATCTGTCTATCTGTCTATCTGTCTACCTGTCTATTTATCTATCTATCTATCTATCTATCTGTCTGTCTGTCTGTCTGTCTATCTGTCTACCTGTCTATCTGTGGTGCAATGTCATTCAGTGTAGTGTAGTGTAGCGTAGTGTAAATGTATGTAAATGTAGTATTGTAGTTGTAGTTGTAGTTGTAGTTGTAGTTGTAGTTGTAGTTGTAGTTAGTGTAGTGTAGCGTAGTGGAGTGTAGTGTACTGTAGTGTAGTGGAATGTAGTGTAGTGTAGTGTAATGTAGTGTAGTGTAGTGGAAAGTAGTGTAGTGTAATGTACTGTAGTGTAGTATAGTGTAGTGTAATTTAGTGTAGTGTAATTTAGCGTAGTGGAGTGTAGTTGTGCAGTTGTAATTGTAGTGGAGTGTAGTGTACTGTAATGTAATGTAGTGTAGTGGAGTGTAGTATAGTGTAGTAGTGTAGTGGAGTGTAGTGTAGTGGAGTGTAATGTAGTGTAATGTAGTGTAATGTAGTGTAGTGTAATTGAATGTAATTGAGTGTAGTGTAGTGTAGTGGAGTGTAGTGGGGTGTAGTGGAGTGTAGTATAGTGGAATGTAGTGAAGGTGTAGTTGTAGTGTAGCGTAGTGTATTGGAGTGTAGTGTGGTGTAGTGGTGGTTGTAGTTGAAAATGCTACGAAACCTTCACGTTTTGCTCACTCTTGACGCGGTGCACAATCCCTTGCGCCTGCCACGCGGAACGAGATCTGAACGTCCAAAAGTGGTCCGAGCATGGTGTGTTTTGTACATTTTGACTTCGAAATGTGCTTCGCGCCACAATGGCGTGCACTTTTTCGACATCTCAACTTCCAAAAGTGGTCCGAGCATGGTGTGTGTTTGTACATTTTGGCTTCGAAATGTGCTTCGCGCCACAACGCCCTGCGCTTTTTCGACATCTCAACTTCCAAAAGTGGTCCGAGGATGGTGTGTTTTGCACGTTTTGACTTCGAAATGTGCTTCGCGCCACAACGGCGTGGAATTTTTCAACATCTCAACTTCCAAAAGTGGTCCGAGCATGGTGTGTTTTGTACATTTTGACTTCGAAAGGTGCTTCGCGCCACAACGGCGTGCAATTTTTCATCTCTCATCTGGCCAGCTGGCTCCGCACCCGCCGCTTTAGTGAGCCTACTTTTCGACCCTCCGGAGCCCCAAATCATTGGAAAAACACAGTGTTTCGCGACTTTCCTACCTTTTCGCGCATCTGCATCTTCTTTCTTCTGACTCTTTCTCTTCTCTGATCTCTCTTCTACTCTCCTCTTCTCTCTGCCTCTGCCCAGCTCTGCTTTTCATCTGTCCATATTGTCGGAAGTTTGACTTCTAAACTTCCTTCGATTAATCTATTACAGTAACATCATTTTAATATGAGCGTGCCATGACCATCTCATGAAAATCACCCACCTCCAACCATCTCCGACCTGATCCCTGAGCCAAGTCTCTGTGATGCCGACGTCTGGCCTTTCTTCACCAGGTCTACACTCTCCACTAGGGACAAGATGGCATGCCTTGGACTCAGGGAATTTCCTGTGGAAGATCAACTATCACCAGCTTAACCCCAAGGCGATGAAACCCAAATCGACGCTGATTCACATGCCCCAGATATCCCCAGATATATCATATGGGATATTTGGATATATCATTATATCACATATTACATCATGATATATCCAAATATCCCAAAATCCCAAGTTCCGCGAATCACCAGGATGCCGTTGGGTGTGCAATCGATTCAAGTGGGACTTCAGCAGCGCCGGCTCCGAGGGTAGCGTCTCAATACCCAAGATGATCGACGCCAACGAGGCGCGATCGCGCAGCTCGGGGCGAACTTCCACCAGGACGCAGAGGCGTTCCACCCAGTTTTCGAAGAAACTTCCTGGGATCTTTGGGTCATCCATTCATCCATGGCCAACCTCCTCCCATCCCAAACCCCCGAGAAAAAAAAACTGAAATGTCAATTGTTGGGATCGGCCAAAGGTCAACTTGAGGATCAACATCGCATTTTTAGGAGGGGACTATAAAGAGTAAAAGGCACGTAGGCCGGGATTGTGATTTCCAAGTAGTATAGGAACAACAGCAGTAGCATACGACGAATGATAAGTGTATTGTATTGAAATATAATAAACATAAGTTAAAATTAGAATGTGGAATAGACCATAATAGAACCATAGGACTATAAAATCCAGAACTTTCAATAAACCCAGCTTCGCATGGCCAGGGGCACCGCTTCCCCTTCCGAAAGCCAAGAGGTGCCCTTCTTCAACAGGAAGGTGCTCATCTGGCTGAAGGGAGCAGCCGAAACGGCCAGGTCCACCAGGACATAGAAGGCCAATAAAGGTCTGGACCTGGTGAACCAAAACCAAGACCAAAACAATCAAAACAGGCCAAAAACCCATCAAAATGAGTCGCCAGATGTCGCCAGGTGGGAGAACCCACCCAAGAAGTTAGACAAGGTGTCTTGATGTGTCTTCTAATTTGTGGCCCAAAAGAAGAAAGACAGTGACCCTTTCAAACAGTTTCCAGGAGATTCTCACTAGTTTCTCAGCCTAGGCTGTCTCAGCCTGATGGCCTATTAAGGTGCCAAGGCACAGTGAACTCAGCAAATCCGTCAAGCCCGTAGCAACTCCTTCGGCGTTGGGGACTGTCTGCAGGCCCACTTGCAACGACGCTTCAAGCTGCTTGTTGAATTGTTCCTCTTCTTCCAGGACCTTGTCCTCCGCTTCACCTAGGCTTTTCAGCGAGGGCAGTCAACAAAAATGTATCAGGGGATATCAGTGGCATCCGGTATCCCCACAATGCCATAAAATGCCAATCAAATCCAATAAACTTGATGAAAATAGCAATAAAATTGGGATATCCATCATGATCCCCAATTTTTAGACCACACCCACCTTGTCCTTTGGTGGATTTTCGATTCACCAACAACTGCCGTAGCTCCTTGAACTGCTCAGCAATTTGCACCGCAGCCTCGACTTGACCGCCACGCAAGGTAGGGAAGTGCTTCAGAAGCTGCTGACTCAGGGCGTAGTCGTTCATCTTCAGAGATCTTTGCCTGGAAAGCTTGGTGGAACTTCGTTCACTCAAAAATGTGTCCGGCAATAGTGGATAAACCAAAACATACCAAAACAAATAGTGGAACAATCATTTTCAATAGTGGGGTGAGATTGGGAGAGGCTTTTTCCTCGGATTCAATCCTGGGATCATCATCCCTATTATCCCTGGGATGGGCAAATCAATTAATATATATTTAAAAAAAAAAAGAACATATTGACCTCAAAGCACCAACAAGTGGCAGCAAAGTCCCTGGACTTGACAACATCCTGGGAATGAACAAAGATGGCAGCAGCGACAAAGGCACATCCATGGGGGTGCAGAACTGGCGAAGCGGATGCACATCTCCTCCCACCTCGGTGCTGATCCCTGATGTCATGCCATTCAAACTTGAAGTTTCAACTGTCAACCTAATTGATTTGTTAACTGTACCCCATTCAAATTATATCCCAGTAAATCTTCCCATTTTATATATAAATATATATAATATACATCCCGTAACTACATTGAAATATACGAATTTTAAAATATACAGGTATTTTAGACTACCTCCAGGAAGGTTTTCCTTGGCCCACCTGGCCATTGCCACATACGGAATCCAATTCATTGAAACACAGTAACTGCATTTAAATATGCGAACTGGTATTTTAGATTTGTAATGGTTTAATAATGTTTAATATGGTTTATACATTGCATTATATAATATTATATATACCTTTCATTGCTTTGTTCTTTCCCTTTTTTTGGCTGTCCCAAGAAACTCTGCCGCTGATGTGGCTCTCTGGTTCCAGGATAGCCATCTCACCCACAGTGACTGCACCAATGGCTGACGCCCAGTCACTCGCCGTTTCTTCGGTGATGGCCATTTCATCCCCCACCCTGTGCGTAGCCACCGGAACCGCACCACCCGTAGGCGCTGCAAGCTGAGAATAGATGAAGTAGTCCTTCCCAGAATGGTCCCAGAACGCTATGAACAATCAGAACAAACCCTGAAGCTGTGCAACTCACACCTGCTAGGCATCCCGCATCCCTTGTTAAGGACAGTTAGGGCACAAATGCAAGTGGAACATAAAGAGTTGAAAGCGATGTCCTTGAGCGAAATAAAGATTCGCCAAATCGCCTCTCGCGTGAAGAGTTGGAGCTGCTGAATAGTAGCCTTTAAACCAGGATCCAACTCGTTCTTGGCTGCCAGAGGTTGCAAGTGATGTCGCAACAGAAGCAACAAGGACAAGAGGACGTTTGGCGGCACTAAGAAGTTCTCTTGGTCAGAGCTTCGCGCAGCTTGTAAGTGGTGATGCCTTGCGAAGCATAGCGAAGACACGAACAAGAAGACGGAGACCTTCAGGGGGCATTTTGGTCCAGCCCTGGAAAGGATCATGCAATTGGAATGCACCCCGAAACCTCACCCATTGAGCTGGGCTGGCTTTCTACACTCAGATCTTCAAAAAGTGTTTGACCAAGTTCCCAAGCCTATTTATATTTGTGTCGTGAGTTTGTTCTGCGGTTGGTTGATAGAGATTCCAGGAAAGATTTCCATATATGGCCGGTAATAACCGGCGTCGAAGTTGCACAAGTATGCACAAGTATGATTTCAAGCGCGTCTCCAAGCAGAAAAGATTGATTGATAGAAATACCCTTTCTGCACGTTTCTACCTACGAGTTGGCACGGCCCCAAGAGAGGAACAAGTGAGGAACAAGTTGATTTCTCTATATACTTTTGAAATATGCATGTTTCTATTCCAGGACCCCTGCAAACCTAATTCTAGCACCTGTTGCCCTGCAGGGCCTTCAAACGAGTCCGTTCGATGCAACTCATCAAGCTATCCAACTCATGAATTCCATCCTGTATTACTTTATGGTCTGGGGCAGGAGCACCCTCCGCCACACAACCAGCGATGAGGTACATGGCGCAACGGACGGTGTAGTAGCAATGGGCCAAATCCAAGTCGTAGGAATGTTCCAAAGCTGCAGCCTCCTGTCGAAGTTGAGGCAAGGAATGCAAGGACGACAACAAAGTGTGGCTGTCCACCATCGGCAGATTGGGGCGCATCACATAGAGGATGCTGTGAGAGGTGATCGCGTCCAAGACATCTGCCGCCACTTCCTGCACCATCTGCACCCCACCAACCCCAGCCATCTCCGTCGTCGCTTCCTCAGATTCGCCTTCAGTTCGACGGGGAGAATCCAAGGATCGCAGCTCCTTCCGTTCCCGGCGTGGGGCCATGGCTTGTCGCCGTGGCGCTTGTTGGGCCTGCTCCACCACCACTTTGGAGATCCAGCCAGCGGCAAAAAGGCGATAGTTCAGGACCTGGCTGTGGATTCTCTGGATCAAAAAATGATTCATAAATGAGCTCATTGCCAATGAACCCGCAAAAGCATGTCATTCTTATTATATTTATCTGAATCTAAAATAATATAAATAATTGCAGTGTCTATTTTCATCTATAGATTTTTGGAGTGCATAATTTTCAGCCACTCCCGCCTCCACCCAATAGTCCACCAGCAAGTCACCCACCTTGCTACTGTCTCGAAATGTCTCCTCAGCATAGGATTTCCACAAGGTATCCAGCAAGTGTTGAAGGCTTTTGACATCTCGACGAAACTCTTCCCAGCACAACAGGATGACCAATGGCTTGAGCTGTGGGAATGGCGCCAGGAGCCACGCTGCGGTGCAGAAATCCCTTTTTCGAATGAAGCCCGAAGAGGTCTCCATGACATATTCCAAACAATGAGCTCGGGCCACACGAGTGAATTCAAAATATGCATCCCAGAATGTGATTGGTGGTTCCTTAAATCTGTAGCTTGCTGGCTCTAGAAGCTGTAAGACTTCAAAAGCAGGTGGAAGAGACGACTGTGAGGATTTCAGCCGAAGCAGCTTATCTTCCAATGTGCTGAACAGCCGCAGAGCTGAGTGCGAGTTGCCGGAAGCATGTGTCAAAAAGGCCTCATAGATTTTCGCCCGGTATTTCGAGCATATTCCAGCGGGGCCTTTCCATGTTCCTCCCAGGCTTCTGCTAAGCTTCTATCAGAATGAGTTTGTGCTTCCACAACTGCTTCCTCGTCAACATCATCCAATTTGCCTTCAACACTATCTCCGCCTGCATCTCCACGAATTCTTTTCAAAAGAGATGAATATCTCAAAGCCGAGGACCCTGCTGCACTGCCTGCATTCTGCGAGGCAAAGTTCCCTGAGTTCTGACGCCTGGCTTCCACCAACCGTCGCAGGTGATCCCAGGGTTTGAACGCAGCGCTGCCTTCTGGTAGCATGGCCTGCGCGAAACTGGCGGCCAAAATGCGAGATGCAGCATCGGCAACCTCATCTCCATCGTCCGTTTCTGAGACATCCTGGTTCCAATGGCTGGTGTGGCAAAAAGGCCTCATAGATTTTCGCCCGGTGCATGAAAGGCATTTCGAGCATATTCCAGCGGGGCCTTTCCATGTTCCTCCCAGGCTTCTGCTAAGCTTCTATCAGAATGAGTTTGTGCTTCCACAACTGCTTCCTCGTCAACATCATCCAATTTGCCTTCAACACTATCTCCGCCTGCATCTCCACGAATTCTTTTCAAAAGAGATGAATATCTCAAAGCCGAGGACCCTGCTACACTGCCTGCATTCTGCGAGGCAAAGTTCCCTGAGTTCTGACGCCTGGCTTCCACCAACCGTCGCAGGTGATCCCAGGGTTTGAACGCAGCGCTGCCTTCTGGTAGCATGGCCTGCGCGAAACTGGCGGCCAAAATGCGAGATGCAGCATCGGCAACCTCATCTCCATCGTCCGTTTCTGAGACATCCTGGTTCCAATGGCTGGATATGGCTGGCATAGAGATGTTTAGAGTAAACTCCCCACAAAAATGCTAATCACTGCATGTCACTGTGCATTGTGTCACTGCTACAGTAGTCAATTGGGGATTTCTCATCAAAATTTGGTTGAAAAAAATGTCTGAACCACCAGCCAGCATCCACATCCGGTGCACCAGGTAAGGGAGACAAGGTTGCCGTCGATGTCGCCATGGACACTAGTGCTTGCAGACGTCCGTGCGGGCAGGAGTTGGACGCACATCTGAAACCACCACCACTAGGAGAACACTCAGAAGCTCGAGCAAGGAGTGTGGGCATCCAACTGAATCATTGACCTCCAGAAACTTCAGAAATCGCCAAGCATCAGATTTCAATGACTGCAATAGTGCATCCGCAGTGAGGCCTAAATACATCTGCTGTATTCGCCTTGCAGTGGGTACTGCTGCTGCACAGTTGGGTGGTGCCAACGAAAGACAAATACAACGCCCCAGTAGGGGTTGGCTTCTACAAAGGTCATACAGCTGTTGCACTGCAGCCTTTGTCAGACTCTTAGAGCTGAACTGATCAATCTGCTCTTGCCGCTGGATGGAAAGCCCGGGCAGAAAATTCACAAAGGGAGAGACCTGGTTGGTCACTTGAAGTAAAGACAAGGCCGGCAGCTTAAAAGATGGCGGCACTTGCAATTCTGCTGCTAACTCTTCACCGAGACTAGTTGCACACAGCAAGCCGGCATGATACTCGCGAAGTTCACTCGCAACCTCTGCAGTCAGAACCTGAGAATAAATGGCTGCTCCATCTAGAAGCGCCTGTGCCACGAGCACGTCAAACCTCAGCACCATAGTAAAATTGAAACACCATGAACCACCTGCAAACATGCTTTAATGTTTACAATGTTTACATCCAAAAATTATGGTTTTTCTGTGACCAGGTGCGCGCTACAAAACACAGACGTTGCGAGTTCCGAAATTTTCGCACCGAGGGACTCAAGGTGTTTCAAGAGCCAAGGAGGCAGTTGAGCCGCCTTGCCCAGGTGAACTTTGACCAAGTCTTGGAAATCGATCAAACAGAGCCAGGCCAAATGGGCTGAAGATGGCACAAGGACCGAACCTCACTGGCCGTCCAAATTTGATGCAAAGCAGGAGCTGTACGAAACACTGAAGCGAAATATTGATGTGAATTGCACTGAAATATTTGAAAACAGCTTTCAGAAGCATAATCCCGGCACTTGCGTGATGAGCATAGCAAAAATTCAGCAAATTTTCATGGTCATCCCATTGCCATCATGGCAATGTGACAGCCTGTGACAGCTGCAAGTGGCTTCTGGCTGCTAAAAATAGGTCAAAAAGTTGAGCTCCATGTTCAACATCTTTTCCCTTGTTCAAACATGTTCAAACCCCCATTCCTCGCTATCACATTTCTTCATGTTACAGGAACATTCGGAGTAATATCAATAACATTATTCTATGGCATTGTAGCACAATTTCCTCCACTTGTCGTACAGTCTCAAACGTAAACAACATCGAATGTGAACCTGTGCCATGGATCACCATGGATCGCCATGGATCATCCTGGATTCTTCCGCCCTTTTTGCATCCCTTTGTCGCATCAAAAACATTCATCGCCGGGGCGCAGAGCCAGTGCTTCGGCGGGCCATACCAAATGATCTTCCTCAAAACACGCAGGGCCTTGGCCAAGTTCTTACTGGCGATGATCTGTAGCAAGGCGCGAGCCAACTCTGCCTCTGCAAGGTGGAAATCCATGGGGATTGAAACCGTTGGGAACAGGAGCTGCCAATGGTTTTCCATTGCGTTTTGGTAGTTTAGCCATGTTTCACTGTATAAGGGGCTTCAGAGATGGTACCAACTGAGGACATTCTGATGCAATCATCCGAATCTCTGGTGACGACTCAATCCACCGCGCCTGGCCAAGGGAGTAATAGTTGCACATGCAAATGACAATCTTGCTATCATCATTCTCCAGCAGGAAGGGGCAGCGTCCGCCCTCATCTGTTTGTCCCATGGCCTTCCCATTGCGTGATGGCTCGTCAGCTTTCAAGAGGAAAGGAGTCAGACTATGTCAGATTATATAGCATGTGCATATGTGTGCGCAAGTAGTATCAAAATGTATCAAATAATTATTTAGTAGGCTACGTAGCCCCAAGGACCTGGATCAACATCCAGGCTGGATGGCACAGAGTGGTGCTTGTGGGTGTGTCCGTTTTGTATTTTGCTTCCCGATGCTTGGAGCAGGATCCAATCACCAGATGTGTGATTGTCTCAGACGTCTCAAACCATTTATGAGATGATCAAGACATCAAGATTTCAAGTCGGCAAGGGCCAGCAAGAGCAAGGACTCCCAAAATGGTGCTCTTATTCCGCAACTTGTGGATGAAGCATGCATCCATGAGTATTGACTGTCAGCGGCTGCGGTCTTGCAATTTGATGCAACTTGCATATGTGCAAGAGCAAATCAGCAACCAAAGTAAAACGCCACGGCATTTCCTACATCACTGTCGGCTTAAGAGCTTGATGCATTGATGCATTGATGATGTCTAATAACTACTAAAGGCCAGATCAGCTATGATTGGCACAGTGATGCACAGTGACTTTTCCCTCTCAGCCGCTTTGAGCGCAGGCACTTCTGTCAAGCATTAGCAATCAAATCGAATGAATATGTCCTTCCACCCGCAGGAATTGACAGGTGCAGACTGTGCACCTAATTGATCGCTTTTCGCGGATCGACAAACATTGATCTTCCTAGTAAAAAGTGATGACACTGAGGATCTGACTGCTTTTAATTTGCCCATCTCCGTACAAACCATGTCATCATCATGTATAAGGTGACGAGTTCAAGTTCGTCCTGTGCTGCGAACCTTTATGGATCATTCTCACCAAGTCTCGAGGTGGCCTAGTTTATTGGAGCTGCAAAACCTCCAATACGAAATCTGTAGCAGTATTTAATCCCAGGTCATTTCTTTTACATTTACTCCATTTTACCCTGTATCACCCGTGGATCACATGACTCGTTGCTGCATCATAAGGACAAAGAAGTCGCAGAAGTTGTCCCGTGATCTTGGACAATGCCTCAGCGATCTATCATCAAGTTACCATCTTAAAGGTCAATCTAGGCTGTTCCTTCAACTCCTCTCTTCAAATATATGTATTATGTATACATATATATATATATAATAGAGCATCCAAATTTATCAGAAAAATGATTCGTGACGCATGCCACGCATGCCGGGGATGGCACCCAGCCAAGCTTTCAAGATCTCATCCATCTTCGACTCCAAAGACAGCTGCAATTCGCCCATGCCCATGCGAAGCATCCCCTGAGGTCGTATCTGTGTTGGCGTCCCGTGGCTGTTGAACTCGCACAGCATGTGGCATTTAAGTGGATGTATGGTTAATGTATGGATGTATCGCTATAGTATGTACATACTCATTCACCACGTGATGTAGTTCTATTGTCCGTGTCAACCATCATGAATCGATATGAATCATCATTAGTTTACCATCATTAAGCATCATTAACCATCATAAACCATCATAGGTCCAATACCTGGAACCTTAGAAACCTGTTTTTTTTTCCACCTCCTCGGCTGCCAGCGGTCTGGCGGTTGAAGATGCAACAGCCCATTTCCCCGTGCCGGAGGCCACGGGTGGGACTTTGCCTGGCACAGCTGGGATCAAGATTGTCGCTCTAGAGGAAACACGTTGGGATATTATATATATATATATATATTCATATACTATGTGTGTGTGTGCGATATATGTATGTGTATATATATATATATATCTACTCTGATATGATATGATATGATATGATATGATATGAAAAATATGATATGATATGATATGATGTGATATGATATATATGTAATATGATATGCTATATGTATATATTATACACATGATATATATATGTGTGTGTGTAATATTTGTGATAAATATATCTATATATACACATACATCACATTATAATCATTGCTATATATACACCTAAATATCTTATATAATATTATATTATATCATATTATATTATATGTATATATTACAATGTAAGAAATGAATATAAATGCATATATGGTACATTCCCCGCAGCACGTACGCTACGCCCCAAAGGTACTTCGCTATAATTATACACTTTCATATGGTTTTTGTCAGGGTTTCTTTAAGGTTTCTTTAGGGTTCATTTAGGAATTCTTTAGGGGTTAATTTAGGGTTTTTCCTAGGGTTTCTCTAGGTTCTCTTTAGAGTTTATGTAAAAAGTGTTGAAAACAGCGAAAGGATTTCAGCCGAATCCACACAGAGGGTCATCAATCACGTCCTTCACGAAGCGACGTGAGGGACATCAAGTTGAATCATCTCAACATAGTGGAAGGCCACAAAGTACAAGTGCTGGCCGAAATTTTGGTGCTAAAGTGCGGTTGTGCTTCATTCTGATCATTTTGCACGAGTTGGCCCGAATCATTGCATGTGTATATGGTAATAACAATACAGTAATGTACTTTATTATCATCTACCCATTGGTTGTTGAATGGGGAAACCATCTATTTATCTATCATTGATCAACCCGCCAGTGGACAACTGGCAGATTTTCTATGGCTGGGACGTCGGCAAAAATCTAGTGTCGTCCGGTGGATCTGTTGGGATCTAAGGCAAAACAACCCACCCTCGCCAAGAAAAAAATGAATGAAATGAAAAAACACAGTGAAACGGTGACATGAACATTCAATAGTATATATATATAGTATATAGTAGGATATTCAATGTATATCATGCATAGGCATAAACATTGATTTGGCATGGCGTGACATATGGTCCTAAGTACTTACAGTAGGTGACAAATCCTTAGCTGGAGCCTTCTAGTCTGCCATCCCGTGGCTTGTTCTGGAGATCCATGGAGATCCCATTTCCCCAGGTCTGAGAGTTGGAAACCTTTATCTATACCACTTGACAATCCTTAAGGGTTGTCTCAGGTAGCCTCAGGTGGCATTCGCAAAGCCACTAAAAGGAGCCTGCCTCCATCCAAATCTTTTCCTGCTGGAATGACGAGCTGCAATGCCACGCCTTGAATGTGCATCTTGCGACTCAGGGTGAATGGCATATGCTCAACTGCGTCATCAGACTACTTTTTGCTCGTTCGACTCGTGCGACCTCTGTTCCTACAAGCCAAACAAAGGTGTGAAATGAACCACCCACACAACCGCCAAATGTTGTGCCTGACAAGTCACGCCGGGCTGATGGCTGGCCACCACAATCCTCCCACATGAAATGCCAAACAGGACAATGTGCCAGAATCGTGCAAGTGAAATTTTCTCACCTTCAGTGAAATTCCGACCTGCTTCAAGGAAAGCCAAAGAAGGGTGCCGCCACCGGCCCGTAGAACGCCCCAGCCAGGTGGCATAGAAAAGAGTTCCTGCACTCCAAAACGCAAAGGAGACAACTGAGACTGCGGAGCTTCTGGGAAGTAACAAAGAGATGTGCAAATAGGCCATTGCTCCGCTCAAAGACTTTAAAGTTTAATATGTGTACTTGTTACCTCTCTTAACAGCGAGCAAGCGATCGTACCATTCCATGGTGCTGGTGTGGCATTTACAAACTCACCAACAGCAGTGCACTTTGACAGACACTGCCACCATGGCTCCTGCATAATTCCATCAGCAGTGGTGCCGTACGCAACGGCTCTGTCAAGCGAAAAGGGAGGTCGGTGTAGGTATACCTTCATTTCGTGGATTTTCTTCGCGAGAAAGAGGTCTTCCCAACTACAAACCAAGCAACAAAAACACTCTAGCATCTCCGACATTTAGATACATTTAGTGGTTCTGGATGCACTAGACTCCAGACCCATCAACCAGACCCACAAAGGTCTCCATGTGACTGCAGCTTGGCAACATCTGCAACAGCAATGACCGAGCTATAGTCGTTTCCAGCCACAATTCGCAGCATGAGGTCGGCCGGCCGGTCTGCCTCACAGCTTCAAAAAGCGGAAATCCGTGAAGAGAGGATGCGAAGCGACAGAAATCAGGAGCAGGAACAGGGTGATTAATATCGTGGTGATATACGGATGATATAATGAATGATAGTGATTTATAATATATATATATATATACATGTTATATATGTATGTATTTATTTATTCATTTATAGTGATTTGTAGTGATGATACTGATAAAATGAGGAATATATGTTGAATATGGATATATAATTGGATATCTCCAACAATATGTCAACAATTTTTACCCAAGCACACCGTTCTTCGTTCGCTCACCTCCTTGACGCCGAGGCGCGGCGACTTTTGGCGTGACATAGCAAGGCACGGGAGTGATGCTTCGAACCCCGCCGCATGGAGTGCTGGGAATTGAGATGATCCTCAGCGGAGGGCGGGCAGAATATATCTGGCTTTTTTACTGATTGGTGGTTTCAAGATGTTTCAAGTTTCAACCCATCTCAAATTGTATATATAATACAACTATAATACTGTATATATAAATCACTATAAATCCATTGGGGATTATGACCTCAAAATATGCGGAAAAAAGATGTCAAAAGATGTTTAAAAGTACCAGCATGTAGCAGCATCACCAGCCAAATCCAAGTTGCCGTCTTTCTGGCGCTGGAGAAGAGGTCCTGGACACCGGTTCGAGACGCAGAGGTATCGAAGGTGTCAAGGCTGGACTCCTGGGCCTTGGGACCGTGGCTGCCGGCATCTTTCCACTAACTGGGCAGTCCCTCCCCAAACTAGAGAAAATGCGTCCAGAAGAATGTCCCTCCCAAATTAGTCATGCTTGATCATCATTTTGTCCATGATTTTTCATAATTGTCCACCATTTACATCATCATTGTCCATCATGTATTTGCCATCACTTATACCATCATACAATCATCTTATACCATCATGTATATCATCATGTTTCCATCATTTTCCCTATTATAGTATGTTTAATTCACATATATTCACATTGATATTTACTTTGGAGGGTAACTCCCTGCTTTCAGACAAAGCCAAAGACAACCTTCCCTGGTTCGTCCCAGTTTCGGAGATCTTGATGGGACCTGACTTTGTGCTGGCTGCGTTGCTGCAGCCCCTGGGGCCCCTGGGGCCCCTGGGGCCCCTGGGGTCGGGGCACGAGAACCTCGGCTGGTCAACGATGTCTTGTAGGGGTTAGCAATTAGAACTCCACAAAAACAACAAACAACGGCATAAAGTCCTATGTTACTGTTGATTTGAGTTGGTTTGTCAAGTGAGGTAACCAGGTAGTTTGAGGAACTAATGGCTCGGCCAAACAAGCTGTTCCACAAAGAATGAAAGAATGGAGATACAAGTTGATGTAATTAAAATCAGTGTGAAAACACCAGCCTGTGACACCAAAACTTTCAGCATCTCTGATCGGTTCAATCCAAGGCACCCAGTGCGGGTGAGAGCAGCACACGTGGCGAAGGCGGCAGCAAAGGCCCTTCCAAATTGAGCCTCGAACACATCTGCAATGCAACGCGGTCCCAGCTGCAGCAAGTAAGCTGCAAGTGGAGTCACTGAGCGCTTTGAGGATACTTGAAAATGACTGAAAGAGGATGAAAGGGTGGTTGGCATTCAACCTCAAGCAGCATGTATGGCGACCAGTCATGATAGGTCAAAAAGCCTTCTCAGAGACAGATATGGTTTCCCTTGCGTAGCCGCTTTGCCACAAAAAAAATGACAGGACCGTGCTTTGACACGCACTGCCTGATAGGCTCTGCTATGCGTGACACTGCAGCAGGCGCAGAAACCAGCCTGCCCGGAAAATGGGGCTATCATTGTCATCAGGCAGAAGGGTTGCCACGCATTGGGACAGACATGAATAAACTGGAAAGCCATCGGCCTAGGGGGTGAGATCACGCGTACAGGCGAAGCATGCCTAGAGCATACCTCAGCCCAGCCCATTAGGCAAGCAGTTGAGGTTGCAGCCAAGATCATTTCTCGTGTTCGCTGGGGCCCCAGACTTGCCATGGCACATTGCCTTGAAAGGTAGCGACATGCGGGATATGTTACATGCGAACGCAAAAGGCGAATCAGTCTCTTTTTTGCAGATTTGATAGGAATTACCTACGCCAAGAATTCCCAAGTACTCCTATTCTTCTTCGTTTTACTTGCATCTTGCCAGGGCAAAAGCATGATATGTGCGGGCACCAAGGGTATGCGCGTACAGGCACCCGCCTGGTTATCAATGTATGATAACTTATGTTTCACCGGGAAAGTCCCTTTCACGTCCACGTTTTCCTTAATATTCCCTTGTGTAGTGTGCATGACAAATAATATAGAACAACCCCTGTAAAATCCCAATAAAAATACAGAACTGTAAAATTGTACTAAAATGTACTACAATAAGTTTAAAATAACTACACGTAATAAATGAACAATTACGGTTCTATCTTTTTTCGGGGTTGCTGTGGGTCATCTTATGAATCACCATCTTTGACTGGCCTTTTGATGCCTTTTGGCTTGCTGCAAAGCTGCGATCAATTGCAATGAAGCGCCCTGCATAGGCGGGCGGTGCGGCTAAATACACCTGGGCGCAGTCGTGGCACACTGTGATCTGAACACGTCTGTCTTTGGACCATATCCCTGCGGAATCTGCCACCCTCTAACAATCTCCTTTGAGTTCAAAGGTGTGATGATGTGACGCCTAATAGGTTCCTACTGCGCGACTTGTAGATTGGATTATAGACATACAAATCATACATAGATCTGCAATAGATTCAATAGATATTAGGCCCAATCACTTCCAATCACCAGGGGCTCCCCATGGGTTCTCCATGGAAACACACAACTCCCGGTGGTTTTTCAGGTCACGGCACCGGCGACGCCACGCTGTCGGTTTGCACTGACACCTCCTTGAAGCGACTTGGCGGCTTCGCAGGCTGCGCCAGCTTCGCCGCAAGGCGCACCTGAGCCCAGATGGTGTCAATATGTTCCAAAAACACATGGCATAAGAAATATGATGTGTAGATTCCAGATTACTTTTAAACATTAATATGTGCATATATATATAATATATATTTCTGATTACATATCAATTGTGTATTTTTTCTCTGCGCTTTCCACAGGGACCATCAGTGACGCTAACCGGCGCAACCCCTATTATTAGGGATCTTGTAAAAACCCCGAGCCCTTTCAAATGTTTTTTTCACACGTTATCGTTTTTATTTCCTCTTATCGTTTTTCCAAACATTGGCTTCACACCTTGACCAAAGAATTCACATGAGCAAGGAAAAGGAAAGGGAAAAGTGTTTTTCGTTTCTTCATTTCATTGTTTGTCGTCGTAATTGCGCGCCCACGAATACGTGTCAGATTCTGCACAAGGAAAATGCCTGGTAGGTGGCCGCTTTCCAGAAAAAGGAACGTACACAGGATTCACGAACGATAGCAAAACGATAAAGAAAACGATAATTTTTGGCATCAAAAATGGTTCGTGTGTGGCACGGCCTTTTTTTTCCTTTTCCTCTCCCTTTCCTCTCCTTTTCCTTTCCCTTCCTTTACTCTTCCTTTACTCTTCCTTTTTCTTCTCCTTTCCTTTTTCCTTTCCTTTTCCTTTTCTTTTCCTTTCGTTTTCCTTTCGTTTTCCTTTCCTTTTCCTTTCTCTTTCGTTTCCTTCCCTTCCTTTACTTTTTTTTCCTTCCTTTACTAGCTGCAAAACGACGGAAAACATATTTCAAGAGTCTGGACACCGATCATTAACAGAAACAACGTTCAACGTTATCGTGTTTTTCCTCTTATCGTTTTTTCGAGTGAAAAGTAAAAATGGTTCATGGGAGATCATGGAAGACTAATCGAATAGGCGCAGGGTTTTTACACATTCCCTATTGGGCTCAGCTTCGCATGCATTCCCCGGTTGTGTATGTGTCCTGTAATTTTCAAATGCATCAGCGAACCTGACATCAGCATCAGCTATCCACTTTGGAAACATGCTGGAACAAAATCCTGATAGTTACTAATGTATATATTCATATTATTCATGTGGCAAACCCAACAATAAACCACCCCCATGACCATGCTTAAACCATCCCCAAACTGTAGCTGATTATGGCATTGGGTGCATCCTACCTTTCCTTGCTGTCCCGCTGTCCCACACCTTGGCAGGATCCATCGAGGAGCTGCCTGCAATGGCCATGATGTGAGCTTTCCAAATACTTCATCCCACACACAAAATACTTGGTAAACGAATTTCAAAAATTCAGCGATTCTCAGGTTCGATGTCCGGGGATGGCAACCGGAAAATCATGCCTGATCAATAACAGGATTACTGCTGGAGTCCTCTCCAGGTTTTTTCTGCACATGGTTCTTCCCAGGAGATCCCTCGAATTGTCAAAGACAGGTTGGGACAACTCTCATACATTCAGATTTATCAAAAAATTCAGGACAATCAAGACGCACTGGAAACATAATGGAAACTAATCCCATCCTCATACAGTACTATCACATTTCTCCACAGAAACCATGGTTATCTATTTGTTTTGGGTGCCGATATTGGGTATCAAACATCATTGAAAAGGACTTGAGAGGCAAACATTGTCCATATAATCGAAGGAAGTTTTGACGTCACACTTCCGACAATATGGACAGATGAAAAGCATCTGTGGGGAGAGTCAGAGAAGAGAAGAGAAGAGAAGAGGAGAGGAGAGGAGAGGAGAGGAGAGGAGAGAAGAGGAAGGGAAGTTAAGAGATGAGACGAGACGAGACGAGAAGAGAAGAGAAGAGAAGAGAAGAAGCGAGAAGATCAGGGAAGAGAAGGAGTCAGAAGAAAGAAGATCCAGGTGTGCGAAAAGGTAAGAAAGTTGCGAAACACTGTGTTTTTCTAATGATTTGTGGCTCCGGAGGGTCGAAAAGTAGGCTCGCTAAAGCGGCGGGTGCGGAGCCATCTGGCTAAATAAGAAATGAAAAGTTGCACGCAGTTGTGGCGCGAAGGGCGAAGCACATGTGCAAGTGAAAAAGTTAAACACGTCACGTTCGTAGCACTTTTGTAAGTTGAGCCGTCGAAAAAGTGCACGCCATTGTGGCGCGAAGCACATTTCCAAGTCAAAATGCACCAAACACACCATTCTCGGACACTTTTGGAAGTTGAGATGTGGAAAAAGTGCACGCCGTTGTGGCGCGAAGCACATTTCCAAGTCAAAATGCACAAAAACACCTGAGCCTCGGAACGCTTTTGGAAGTTGTGATGTCAAAAAAGTGGACGCCGTTGTGGCGCGAAGCACATTTCCAAGCCAAAATGTACAAAACACGCCATTCTCGGACCACTTTTGGAAGTTGAGATGTCAAAAAAGTGAACGCCGTTGTGGCGCGAAGCACATTTCGAAGTCAAAATTTACAAAACACTAGGGGTGCGGACCACTTTTGGCACTTGAGATGTCGAAAAAGTGCAAGCAGTTGTGGCGCGAAGCACATTTCGAAGTCAAAATGTACAAAACACACCACGTTCGGACCACTTTTGGAAGTTCCGATGTGGAAAAAGTGCACGCCGTTGTGGCGCGAAGCACAGTTCGAAGTCAAAAGTGCAAAAAACTGACGGGTATGGAGCACTTTTTGGATGTTCAGATGTTTTGTGTGGCAGGCGCAGGGGATTGTGCACCTTGTCAAAAGTGAGCAAAATTTGAAGGTTCTTGTAGCAGTTTCGACTACAACCAACACTACATTAGACTCCACTCCACTACAACTACAACTACAGTATTACACTACACTACACTCAATTACACTACACCACACTACACTACACTACACTACACTACACTACAACACACAAACTACAACTACAACTACACTACATTACACTACACTACGCTACAGAGATTACACTACAATACACTACACTAATTACGCTACACTCCATTTCGCTTCACTACCTTACACTCCTTTACACTACACTACAACTACAACTACAACTACAACCTCAACTACACTACAGCACACTACGCTACACTAATTACATTACATTACACTAATTACATTACGCTACGCTACACTAACTACAGCTACAACTACAACTACACTATATTACACTAAACTACACTGCACTAATTACACTACACCACACTCCACCACACAACACTATCAACACTTCACTGCACTAATTACATCTAATTACATTACACTACACTACACCACGCTACACCACACCACACCACACGAACTACAACTACAGCTACGACTACGCTACTTTACGCTACACTACACTACCCTACATTGCCTTACACTACACTCTGCTCATTACACCACCACAAATGCAACTGCAACTACACTACGCTAATTACACGACACCACAGCTACAACATACTACAACTCCACGACACTACAACTACAACTACACCTCCACTACACCACACTAGATCCAACAGTTGTGGGTGAGGTGACCGGCCAGGTGACCACTGCAACCATTGTAACCACTCCAAAAACACAGCTCCAACCACCTTTCGGTCCATCAGTGGATTCGCTCTGCCATCCGTGATTCACAACAACCAACCTCTCCTATAGGTTCCTATTTTTGAAACTTCCGCCACCGCCTTGTGCGGTACAGTACTACTGGTAACATAATCATATCATGTCCAAACTGTTTTCATTTACTGATCTAACAGTATAGCCTCAATAAAAACAGCATTGTTACTGGACCTAAGGGACAATTCGAAGGAAACCTTGTTTTTCTCTATCACTTAGGCTCCCAGCACCCCAGATGGGGCTAAATTTAGCAAAATACTTGTAAATCACGAGGTTAACCATAGTAAACTCACCTCATTTGTTGTCCCCCTTTTTTTGTGGCTATCGTTTACCAATGGGTAGGTTGGAGCCGGAATCAGACCTTGAGAACTGCGTGCACTCCGGCTGGGCGTGCGCCCGCGGGCACCGCGGGGGCTTGGGCCTGGAGAAGGCTTTGGGGTAGATGGTTGGTTGATGTTGATGGTTGGGCTTATTGTACATGAATTCTGCCAGCAATATGATATATATAATCATGTGTGTATGTATGTATATATATATAGATATTTAGGTCTATATAAATATATATACATAATACATGACAGGAATTCTTGGGCAATTTCTTCAGCTTTCGGACTCTTCAACGTTGTCTTATTCAATCACCATCTGCTCCAAGAGCCCAAAAAATCTCAGCCCTTGGCTTCGCTGCGGCGATGATACCCTGGCTTTCGGTCGGCCTCAACACGACCCGGCAAGGCTTGTCCCCAAAAGGTTGGGAATGCCCAAGCCCAATAGCTCCATATGATTCCCTATGATTCCCCATTCGGATTCTCCATGGTCATTTCGAGTTGAAGGATTCAGCATGATCCGGCCAGCTACAAAATATCAACCAACTTCGTTGCCTGCAGGTTTTGCGGGCGACTTGCTTCGGGCAGTGGCAGTAGCAGTACTCGTGTTTGACACCTCAGGTGTCAATGCTTCAAAAACTTGGTCAAGGCAAACCGGTTTGACATTACTGGCTGGAATTGGAAATAAAGTAAAACTAAAACATATTGAAGCGGCCTCCCATCTTCAAATGTTCAAACCTGCAGCTTGGATTATTAGAATCGGTGATGGCCACAGAAATATCTATGTGAAGCATGTGGATATTGCGAAACCTAAAAGTGTATCAGTCAAATGGGTTCTGATGTTACTTGCTACGATGCAATGCAGCAAATCTACAAAACCACGCCAGGTTAAACTTCACATCATGTCATGCATTCGCGTGTATGCATGTCCACAGGAAGTAGTAGTGATCATCGATGACCAGCAATGATCATCAATGACCATCCGTCATCTGCCGCGTTTACATCCGCCCGGGGCCCAATCTAGACTAAAATGATGATGTTTCATGATTTTCCTTTGTTACCATCATGACCATCACTGGAAAATTATGGAAAATATAAACCCCAGTCAACCCCAACCCCAACCACCTTTTCACCTTTTCGTCCTTGCCGAGGGTCCCTGGATGGGGGAGCCGCATCGGTGCTGCCGGTGGATCGCATCGACGCCGAAACCGTCTTGGGACTCTGCGGCTGTCGAGGGCTGGCCGCTTTGGGGCTCGGGCCAGCCCGGGCAGAGTCCTGGAGGTGTGAAAGCTGAGGGCTTGATGGAGGGGTTGGGGGCATTTGCCGAATTCAACCAAAAAATGTGTTTGGGATCCAGTTTGCCATCCGGGGTTGTGGGAAAAGGTTCAAGGATCATCAGTTTCCATCGCCATTCCGGGTTCCACTACCCACCCACGAGGCCTTTGGCTGAGCCTTAGGTGCAGGGGATGCTGAATGGAAACACAACAGGACGCTGGCGAAACCTGCACGATGGTTTCCTTCAAATGTGCATCAACTCAATTTACTGTATCTGAATGTGGTGCAAATATGTGCAAATGACAACCATTCCATCCCAAATGTTGACCTCACTCGTTCCATGGAAAATCTTGGAAACTTTGCTTCAGGGCTTGCCGGACATCCAAATCATCCAAGCAGCATCACTCCGGCGCTGACTGATTAATCGCCATTGAATCAGTGCACACCTGGCAGTTCTGCAGGGTCTGGCAGCAGAAGCCATGTCCAAACAGAAACAACCAGAAAGCTAGCTCTTCAAAGCAATTGAGCCTCAATTCATGAAATTATACTGGTTACTGGTTGGTTACTAGGGATTGCCAGATTGATTGATGGCAATCCATGGCAATCCCCAATGTATTGGGTTGCATAATCCATCACAATCCCCTAGAATTAATCATCAAGCAACAGGGGTTTTGAACACTGCTCAATTGAGGCAACATCAAACAAGGTGGCCATGTTTGATCATAGGCAGGTAGGACAGGCTAGGCCTATCCACTACCAACAGCTGAGGCTGGCACGAACCCATTCCTGCTGTCACCAATCGATCAGGCCCAGCCCATGCCAGGTCAGCAACACGTGAGGTGTGCGCATAGAAATCCTCGCGTTGGGACAGCGCGATGCGGCGCGGCCCCTCTAGCCATGAATGTTGGACCGTGGAACCACAAAATGTTGTTTTTATTTCAGCTATGAAATATGATGCATACCCTTATCAAGCCAAGCATTTCTCCCTTTAGTGGCTATTTTTTGTTTGACTGCGGTTGAGGAGCTAAAACTCCACTCTGAGAGTCAAGGATATACTGAAGGGACTTGATTTCTTCTTCAAGCAATTGAATTGTCAGCTTCGTCCATGGCCAACAATTAATCAGCCACATGGAGCTCAAAGAATCTTCTTTTTGTCTGGATCCCTTGTACGCCTCAGAAGGTATGATACGACCATCTATTATCATGTATTTCCCCACTAAAACAGGCATCATGCACCGGGCAGCAATGCTGGTGAATTAGCTGATCCTCCAGCTGCAAATGGATTGGACTAGATAGGTGATTCCATATACATTTACCATATATACCGCATTCCATCCGAAACATGTCATAAAATGAACCATAATAAATTAAGCCATTGCATGCCATGTTCATGTGAAACTTCCCAGCTCCTTGGACAAGGCATCTGGCACAGGCACAGGAAACCTGCCGACAGGTACAGTACCAGCAAGCACCGGAAGACCAACAGCCCTGCGAAACTTAGCTAAGAATGCAACGAATTCGCATCTTTGAAAGTTCGAAGACAAGTATGTTACCATACAAGTATCGCAAGTATATGACACATCTGTCGGCCATATCAATCAAATGATATCAAATATATAATATAATCAAATCAAATGGTGACTTTAAATGGGCACGTCCCTTCCACAAAATGTCCGCTGCCGAACATGCGTAAGTCTCAAACCAAAAGCAATAGGCTGGGCCGCTTTTGGGACGGGGATCAGACCACCTATACTTATCATCTCCGGATGGTTTTGTCATATTTGTCACAAACAAATTCAAGGAATGTATGAACAAACTGGGGAGGAAATGGAAGGAAGGCCTAGCATGGCCTAGTTTCACAGGGGTTTCACCAATAACTCCGGGGGATTGTTCCCAATCTTTGGATCGCATCACGTCTGGCCTCTGAAGCCTTACCAAACCATCTACATCACCAGTGGCCAGCAGTCGCAAAGTGCCATGGGATTCCCCGAGCACGGCGGCGCTGGAGCGGTAACCTGGAATGATGGTGTCCCATGGAAATCATGGCAGTAAGACGGCCAACACACTTGCACATAAATGAACCATTGAGACCTTGAGACCCTAAGCATTATATACATGTTTCATCATGTTTCCATCATTCAAATCTTTTACATACCATTTGAGCTGTTGCCAAAACCCCGATAAAATAGATTTTATTCGCTCTTCTCTTTCGCCATTTCTTTCGCAAACCTTTCACGGTGTGGGTTCGTTCTTTTGCGGCGTCCATGTAATATACTTTCGCGAGCTTTCGCGGAGATCTCCTGACAAGAATCCCGGGCGTTCCGTAGTGAAACACATACTGAAACATGTCTTTCCAAAAATTCTTTCAACGGACTTTGCAGGAACTATCATTGCGGCAACACCTGGATTGACATCGTATCTGGTGGCCGGTGGTCCAAGGCACTGTCTCTGCTCCAGGCACCCCACATGGCCCAGGAGATGGTGAGGCCGAAGCGATGCCCGTCTCCAAACCAGGTCTCTGCGGAGAAGTTGGACACCAGCACTTTGCCCGTTTCCACTTCCCAGCAAAGCACTGCACCATCTCCTGAGACTTAACACAGTCAAAAAAAATGACACAAGGGAATTTGTTTATTCCCCCATTCCCATCCATTCCCTACTAAGCACCAGTAAGATTGTGAGTGAATTTGCAGTGCCGCTCAGTTCTTCCGTCTGCTTAGTCGGGCACGTGCATTGCTTGCGACTGATGTCCCATCCTGTGGCGGTTGCCATAGAGGCTTGAGAGAAGATCCAACCGAGTCCAACCTGTACCCTCTCAACACGGGCCCACCATTGAGAATGAGATTTAAATAGCTATAACAATCTTAACATGCATTCAATGACTGTGAAAGTGTGTGTCTCAACGGCTGTCCTTGGTGAATTGTAAGGCCATGATTGCACTTGCGTTGCCCGGAAGCAGTCGATATTGAATAGGGCTGTAGGTGGGAGAAAGAGAAGAGGATGGAACTGCCAGAACCTCAATCAAAAGACACCAAAAGAATCAAACAAGGAGGATTGCCTTCCGGTAACCAAACAGGGCAATGGGAAATCCCCATGAATTGGTACATGAACGGGAAAATCAGCTGTAAATGGGCTATTACCCATAGCTATGTTAATTTACTGGGGAATATCTATTATTGTAGCTTAGACCCCGATTCCCTATTAAAAATGATCTGGGAGGATTTTGGGGGTCCTCCTGGAGGAAACCACATAGCATAAGTTGAAGAAAAAAAACACAACTTCAAAACAAAACACTGAAAGCATAGTCAACATGAGATCATAGATAACAAACCTGAAAGACCAAAAAAACATGTATCTAGAAGTGCAGCGCGGCGCTTGGGGCTTGGGGCATTAAGCCTTATTCTCTCTCCCTCTCCATCGCCCTCTCCGGGAGTAAGCCTTATTAAGCTTGAAAGTTTCACAAGTTTCACAAGTTTCAATCAAAAAACTTGTACTTGTCCATCTCGATGCCCCACTGCCAGCCAATTCCCCGCCGGGGAAAATTGCAGGGCTGTCACTTCGCTGGGATCGCTCAAAAGATGTTTGATCTCCTGTGGCCAGGAAGTGTCAACTGGCAAAATATGGAGGTTTCCTAAATGTGGGTACCCCCAAATCATCCATTTTAATAGGATTTTCCATTATAAACCATCCATTTGGGGGTATCCCCATGTATGGACCATTTGCGGGTATCCCCATTTATATCCATTTATGGAAACCCCCATATTGCACTATTGTGTGAGTTGACCCATTCAAGCCACAAAAGATGCTGAAAATCAGGGCTCTAAAGATCTGGGTGATGAAACAACTCATCCCCCCGAACATCCGCGGTGGACCTATCATCCCAATTTCATGAGATTGAAAATGAGAAAAGAGAAAAAACAACTATGAAACAACTATTGTATAAAATGTATAAAACTACGTCGTATATAACCCCAGCACCAAGTCGTCAACTCCGTCAGACTCTGTCATCCATTTTCAGGTCAAGGATCCTGCTCAGTGATGTTCCCACCCTCCAAAATAAGGCCATGCAAGTTGCCAGCTTCCAGCCCGAGCACCAGGAATTGGCCCAAAGGATGCCAGGCCATTGAGGAAATGGCGCCTGGGAAGGGGCCTCCCAAACTCACCATCTTCCGCTTCTCCAAGTCATAGAAAAACACCACACCTGCAATGGCCCCCAGGGCCCCCAAGCTGTTGGTTGTGTTTTCTATGAAACCATCTGGCTTTTGACGTTTGACATATTATAAACCCCAGTTAGCCATAGTTAGCAAATATAAACCGCCTTCAACCTAGCTATCTAGCCCCTTTGTGTGGAAAGCCCCTTGGTGTTGCTTTTCTTCATACTCAAGGACAGCTGGTTGATAAAACCCCACGAGTGTTGCAAGGTTTGGTCATTGTCACTGGAATCCGGGAGCCACCCCCAAGACACAAGACACAACCCTCCAGGACTTTTCCGGAAAACCCATAGAATCCAGCGGCCAGCGGAATTTTGGACATGCCGACTTGACATCTTTCCTTGAATGAGATTCCATGAATTTGATCGAAATTCCATGGAGAATCATCAAAATCAGACCCTGCCTGAAGAATCAGCCACAGCCAGATTTTTGGGAGCGGATGGATTCACAGCCAGTGCCCTGACCTCTGCCATACCTGATGGCGATTGCTGCAGCAACTCTCCAGAGCATTGCCTCAGGGGTGGAGAGGTTGAAATAGAATCAATCTCGGAAGAGATTTTTGGGCAGTGACTTTTTTGAGCCAGCAGGGCTTTTTTGGGCGGTGTAAAATTCATTCAAATTCTGCGAGTTCATCCATGTTCGTCCCATCCTCCAAGTCATTTCCAAAAGTTTTCACCATCCCATACCATTCCATACCATCCCCCATCCACCTGGTCTCAATATCCAAGCGCAGCTTCAGCAGCGATCCATTCATGGCTCCCGCCACCAGCTCCATGCCCTGAGTCGTCCCCTGGGTCACCGTTGCAGCGGCGAAGTCGGTGGCGCCGACCCCCGCGATCTGCACCACCTCCGCGGTGCAGAGCGCCGCAGCGCTGGAGAGCTCCGGCTCCAGGAGGATCAGACAACCCCCGGATCCACCGCACAAGAGGTGGCCAGAAGGAAGTGGAAGCAGAAAGCGAACCTGGACATTTTTCGAAATGGTGAAGAATGGTGAAGAATGGTGAAGAATGGTGAAGAATGGTGAAGAATGGTGAAGAATGGTGAAGAGGAAATGGGAATCATGGGGGGGTTCTAATAGTTACTAATAGTTGTTCAAGGTGGGAATTGATGGTGATGCAGCGATGCATGATGATGAGCTCAACAGTACACAAAAAGCTCCAAATTCCACACACTCACAAAACTGCCATCATCGGCGCAGCCGTCACAGGACCAGAAAGTAGATTATTTCTACCACTTTTAAACCCGCGTGATGCATTGTGATGCTATGCTGTGAAACATGGAAGAAGAACAAACCAAGACGGTAGCAAGGTATGTGACGTGGTATGTGGCATGGCGTTTCATTTTACATCATGATAGATTTCAACAACAACATCATACCAAATCAACAAATTGATCCATTGCCTCCAGGTTTTCCAGCGGCAGGCCATAGCGGCAGACTGGCCCACTTTCCAAAGCATCGATGACAAAGACACCCCCGGGCACTCCGAGAACTACCAGGTTGTCTTCCCCAGGAATGAAGCAACCTGCCGACTGCCGAAATGATCCACGGGAAGAAAATCCAACCAATAGCACTATAGCACGCTTCGAAACTTTCCCAAAACAGAAAAAAAGTAAGCCACCGATCAAAATGGTAGGGAACACATTGTTTATCACATCTGCGTTTGGAGCCCTGATGGTCTATATAGTTTGCATTGACAACCGCATGTATTTTGTGGGTTCCTTATTTGATCTTCTCTGTTGACCGTCATGCCGAACATTCATGCACATCCAATAGTGGGATTGAGTTCTTTCGGCTCTGGAGGATGCATTTAAACAAATGAAAAACATGGAACCTACGAAACTCCAACTTAAGCCATATCATCCATATCTCGCCCACAGAATGACAAGCATTGGCCACCGGTAGCCATGGTGCAAGATTCATCAGGTCTCCCACCTGCTGAAAAGCCATAGAAGGCAAGGCCAGCCCCGTCCGGCGGAGAGGGACTGTTCCACGTAGCTCGTTGGGACACATCTTTGGCAGCCCAGTCACATGTGATGAAGTACGCAGCTCGACCCCCGAAAGCCAACAAACGGTTGCTCTCCTATGACCGACTCAGTTGCAACGGTGCACTGGGGGTGACTTTTTAAGGATACTAATCATATAGAGAGAGATAGTGATATATCAAAAAGAAGAATTGAATGTAATTTACCTGAGTTGTGATACTGATTTGATTTTGGTTGGAATCGACTTTTTTCTATCTTTGCGGGAGTTGCTATAATTACTGCAAGTGACTTACAGTATCAGCACTGATTGAAGCTCTTGCAAATGCAAATCAGTAGAAGCATGCCAACATACGCAAGCATATACAGCATCATGGCGAAATAAGTCTTTCCCTCCATCCATTTCTCCCTCTCTGTATTTCAATGTTTGACATGCCTTTCGGTCTCCCTCTCTCTCTCTCTCTCTATCTGTACACATCCGCATGTGTCTGCCACTATCTCTTGCCAAACTAACATGTCAATTTGAAACGGGGGTCGCAAAAGGTTGGAATAACAAAAGGCATTCATTTAATTTACTGCAATATACTGCAACATACTGCAACCATGTTAGGATCTCAAACATTTGGCCAACCGGTTTCCAATCGTTTCCAATGTATGGATGTTTCCAACAAACAAGCCCCACATTCCCATGGAATCCCCTCCTCGGGATGTGGTACCAACCTAACCTTCTCCTTCATCGCCAGCCGCAGGTGTGATGCCCTCGGCTGCAGCCCAGCCTTCAGTTTGGCGTCGTCTAGCCTCCAGGCGCACAATGGGGAGGTGGTCGCGGTCAGCTCATTGCTACGACCGCTGGATCCTTTGGATCCTTTTCTCTCCTCTGCGGCCATGGAGAACAGCCAACGGCCATCCGCGGAGAAAGCCAAGGAGTACCTATGAAGGTCTGAAGGAACTCCAGAAGAAGGGAAAAAACAAGATGAACATGATGAAAAACCATGAAAAACATCCAAATCAAAAAGAAACAGAATAAATCTGGAAGACACAAAGGGAACATCAAACTTTACTTCACACAGCAAAAGAATGAAATATCTCCACATGTGAGGGAACATCGATTTATATGATTTTGAAGGAACTGGTAGGAAACGAAGCAATCGTTTAGGAGCTCGCGACCGGTTGATCCTGTGGATGCCAGAAAGAAGCCTCCCACTGCACTAAAATTGTGTGAAGCCCAGGAGAGACATAGTATACAAATGAATACCCTCAAGTACGAGCAGGGACCCTTGAGCAAGATTTTAGACCCCCACATACCCCCACAAAGGTGTCCGAAATGATTTTCCCAGGGGGGGCCCTGGGGATCAACGAATTGTCTTTAGACCTGTGGCAGCTTGTTTCGTGATGGTTCTGGAATTAAATCTTCGGAATCAAGCTTATGATCCTAGAACCCCTTCATTTTGGAGCCTTTCTGTTGTCAAAAAAAGGCATCAAAAATTGCATTCAAGCAAAACCCACAATCTCACAGGCTCAATTGTCCGCCTGTTTCCTTTGCTCCCATGCTAGTCCCCTCTTCCTATTTCATCCTATTTCTAAACTCTCCCAATTAATACAAATAGATCCAGATTGTCATTTTCGGGAAATTTCAGGTTTGTCAGTTTGATCTTTAATTGATCGCCTTTAGAAAACAATTTTAAGAAGAGGGGTTCACTTAATATTACTAAAAATTGACTGGTTGGGGACTGTTTATTATTCGCGTCCCTGACGATAACTTCATTTTTGATTAGTACATATTAGTACTTAAGGTTTTGATGTAATTAGCAGGGGAAAGCGTCGTAAGCCAATTTTTGGCAATATGTAAAATTGTTGTAACTATGTTTAATATGTGTTAATGAGAGCTTTCTGGCACCCAACATCTTTCGGTTGATACATCAAACTGTTTCTTTTCATTTTTGCTCAGGGATTTTGCAGGATTGGGGGGTCTAAGTCCATATCTATGGCCCTTGTGAAGATAAAGCCACAGAATGAGTTAGGAGATATCATGTCAAAACCTTGTGTAGAACTCAACAGTTTCCGAGTAATACGGTAATTCAAATTGGTTTCTTCGTTTTTGTTCAGAGGGTTGTACAGGAATAGCGCGTCCAAGTTCATATCTATGGCCCTTGTGAAGGCAAATGCACAGAATGAGTTGGGAGATCTCATTTCAGACCCTTATGTAGAATGCAACCGTTTCTGAGTAATTAATAAATCAAATTGGTTTCTTATGTTTCTTTATTTTTGTTCAGAGGATTTTGCAGGAATGGCGGGTCTAAGTTCATATCTATGGCCCTTGTGAAGACAAATCCACAGAATGAGTAGGGAGACATCATTTCAGAACCTTGTGTAGAACTCAACCGTTTCCGAGGAATAAATCAAAGTGGTGTTCTTCATTTTTGTTCAGAGGATTGTACAGGAATGGCGGGTCTAAATTCATACCTATGGCCCTTGTGAAGACAAATCTAGATATCATTTCAGAACCTTGTGTAGAACTCAACCGTTTCCGAATAATAAATCAAATTGGTTTCTTCATGTTTGTTCAGGCGGTTGTACAGGAATGGCGGGTCTAAGTTCAGATGTATGGCCCTTTTGAAGACAAATCCACAGAATGAGTTGGGAGACCTCTTTTTGCATTGGTGAATGGTTCCTGGCATCCCGTTTTTTTGATCCGCGTTTATGCACTTTGCATGTTTTGGTTCAGGAGGTTGCGCAACCAAAGAGATAATTTCATATCCATGGTCCATGGCCCATGTGAACATAAACCTGCAGGTAAATGGTTTACGTTCAAGAACTGAAGATTGCATGGAAGCCACTGGGTCTTCTGCTCCAACAGAACCATGCAAAAAAATCAACGTGAAAGTCTGAAAGCAATTCAGATTCTAATCCCAATCAGGTGTCCCAACTTAATACCGAACTCCCTCCCAGAGATATCAATCATACTTTCCGCATAGGAAACTTTCTGTCCAGGACATTTGTGTGCTGTAACAACAACTTGCCTAGTTCCGGATGGTCCATGCATATCGGAGGTGGCACATTACAACATTTACAACGTACCACAAGACACTCTAGGAACCAAAACCTCCAAAGGTCTACAATGGGGGCAGGGTCACAGGTCTAGAATTGCGCGCGATCCCCATTCTAGAACTGTGGGAGTTATCCCCAGGGGGGATCTTATATAGACACTTCGTAGTAGAGGGTATACAAATGAGGTCTAGAAAAGAGCCTTTCTCGGGTAAACTTGCAGTGAGTGGTTATGTGCGAACCAAGCTGCACACTCTGATTGTGACCCAAGATCTGGAATTTTTCCTTGACTGGGCCAGGCTGATCCACGGACCAAACGCGAATGCCAGAGGATTTGTTTCCGACAAATTTCTGGCCGGTAGCAATCAATTGAGTGCTACTGCTATACGCGATGGCTGTAACTTCTGCCGTGTGTCCTTGCAAGAACCTCTGGTTCTGGCTCTCTTCATCCCAAAGGACGCCCAAACTTGAAGCAGTGTAGCAGTACGAGCCTCTTCCGGTGGAAATCACGTTTTGACAGCCCTCGGTGTATCCATAGACATGTTCCAACTCCAAGGCATAGTCCGGCACAGCCTGGAGCTTCCTATGGGCCGTGGCATCCTGTCCAGCGCGTTCCAACTTGGCTGCCTCACTGCTGGGGATGGCCAGGGCGGTGACGCGGCCACCGATCTTGGCGCGCACGGTGTTGCCCACCAGGGAAGCTTTGCCAAAGAGACGTTGGGAACCGCTGGTGCCAGTGGTGGAACGGGAGGAAGCACGGACGGCCATGGTGACTGGGTATACTGGGTGACTAACCCATGGTACATGAAAGCATGAAAAGAGTTGAAAGAATCGTTGGAAATTGGGTTGGGCTTCGTCATGCTTCGTGATGCTTCGTCAACTTTGTAACTTGTCAAATGCCAAGCGAATTTGCAGGTGTTGTGATGGTTTGGCAAAGTGCTATTGAAAGCAATCTGAATTGTCCGTCCTGGTTCGGTCTTGAACTGTAGCTCGCATGGCGTGCGCCCACCATGCGAATGTTATTTTCACTCATGGCACTTCAAGCAAAGAGCTTTTGGACATAGTCGGGCAACTCTCCAATACAACTTTCACACACTACAGGAGGTGTCAGACGTTGTCTCGCCCTTCCAACCAAAGCCAAATTGGATGAGCATGCAAAACAGAAAACTTTGAACGACTATATGAAGCCGGGTGCCAACAAAAAAAAACTTTGCTTGTCCCAAAGCGTTTTCGACGTGATGATAACGGTCATAACTCAATGATCCTGGGCAATCAAAGTACTTCCAACATCTTCCAACAAGGGCACCCTGGTGGTGGTGGCCCTCCAGGATAACCAGGACTTTGGTAGTGAACCTCAGCAGGATCACAGCTGGCACTCTGAGTGATGCACCAGGCCCATTGGCGCCCTAGGCGCCCGGCACGTGCGGCCGGGAATGCACCTTGCTTGCACCACAAGTCACATTAAAGCCTGGAACCAAAATGAACGGAAGTGGAAGACAATTCCCTCGAAGATGATTCTGCTCTCGAAGATTCAGGATTTCCATGGGTGTTTTGAAAGGAGAACAGTCCTTTCCTGTTGTTGAAGCCTCCTCAGCCCCGCGCCACCATAGAAGTGCGGGGGTGGCTGCATGTGCCCCTGCATGCAGGCTTGGACATGTGACCGGCTCACGTGAAAAAAGGCACCGCAACAGACTGGCAAAGGCTGAGCCAAGCACCGGAGGTGGAGGGTAGTGGGAAGGATGTCCTCTGTAGTCCTCAAGCATGTGGATCTGTGATTGGAACAGGTTTAGTTGAATTTGTCGAGATCCGTCAATTTGGCTGTTCACAATATGAACAGGGACTGACCACAAACAGAGGATCTGTCAATCAGATCTTACCAGTGATTTTTCACGTCTTTAATTAGGTACACTGGTGGAATACTGGTGTGACACTTCTGCCCAGCCCAATAGCAGTCCCATGCAGCTGCGCTCTGCGGCTGAGGGGGACCTTCACTGAAACGGCGTCAGCTTTGGATTTGGGTGGCCGCTGACCAACGAAAAAACGTAGAAGAGGTAGGCCATTGTCGTCTATAAACGACCTATACCCTTCATGTTATTTAACCGAAAAACCCGCACCTAGATGCAGCGAGTACTGCGGCTGTGGCCCTGGGCCGCGCCAACGGATGTACAAGTCAATGATATATGGTCTGATTAAAATATATAACTAACTATATAATACTATTATATATATATATATATCTAGGGGGCTGAGGTTTGCCCGAAATCTACAGAATTCCATGCAGGACTGCAATCTGCTGTGTTGTTTCCGTGCGACATATTGATATTACCTGCGTCTCATGCCATTTTTTGCGCTTGCCTAAGACGGTGCCAAAATCACCTTTTGAAGCGTATCTTGAAGATATCCTCCAAAATTTGCGGATATTTGCGGTGTTTCGAGCCGTCAACTGAAACCTCAACAAATCGCAAGATTTTGAAAGAACACCCAAATAACCAAACCCTAAATAATCCCCAAATAAACCCTAAACAAACCCTAAACCAACCCTAAATCAATCCTAAATAACCCTAAACAAACCTTAAACCAACCCTAAATCAACAAAAAGTAACCCTAAATAGCAGGAAAATTAACCAACCAAACCCTAAATAAACCCTAAACAAACCCTAAACAAACCCTAAACCAACCCTAAATCAATCCTAAATAACCCTAAACAAACCTTAAACCAACCCTAAATCAACAAAAAGTAACCCTAAATAGCAGGAAAATTAACCAACCAAACCCTAAATAAACCCTAAACAAACCCTAAATAAACCCTAAACAAACCCCAAAGAAAATCTAAACCATCCCCAAGCAAACTTCAAAACAATCTTAAATTAATCCTGAAGAAACCACAGCGTAACTGAACTCCCCAATGTAACTTTGGGCGAACGTCCGCCCCGGAGGGCATACACGTGTGTGTGTGTGCATATGTATATGTATAAATATATGTATATATATATATATTATAATTATATATATAATTATATATATATGTCCACAACAACTGGATCAGAACCGTGTCAAAAAATCTCTGAGGAATGCATGGGAACATTGCAAAATCATGAAGTTGCAGGAAATCCGGGAGCTCTAAAAATGCTCTAAAGTTCCAGGTGCGACCCCAAAATAATTATCCAAAATGACACAAGGATGGCTCAGGGACATGAATCATAGAATTGGATGATGGGAAAATTTACAGGAAAGCCCTATATTTGATGGAAAAAACATGGTTTCCTGTAGATTTTCCCTTAAACCAACCCAATGAATGAAGGCTTCACACCACTGGCCTGTAGCAGACACAGGTAGCAACGCCAAAGCTTCGCCTGGGCCGAAGGATCCGAAGGGATTCCGAAGGGCAGGTTCCAGCATCAGCTGACCCCATCTGACCCCATCTGATCCAAAAAGGTCACCAAGTTCATATCATATAACTATATACAGACATTAATACAGACTGGTATTATTAGAATTTATTAGACTATATATGCTATCATATGCTATCATTAGCTATCTGTTTGTTATTTCAATATGGATCAAACATGGGAGAAGCTGGCGAAATTTAAGGTCATCCCTGAGGCGACAGCTTCCAGCTGGCGGAGGCGCCTCCGCTCACTGCTTGGCTTTGACCAATTTCTGGTGTTTCATCAACATTCTTTATCATTATCATCATCCTCCCCAAATATAATTATATATATATAATTATATATAGCCATATATAGCCATATTAATTGGGGTATATATGGGGTATATAGATTTATCATTAATTATCTACCCATCCCGCATCCCCAAATGGCACCTCCGCCGGCTGTGACCAGCTCCCCGGCGGTGGTCCCGCTGGTGGCGGGCCGGGTGCCACTTCCTGATGGTAGCAATGGATACCTTAATCTGACTGAAAACCAATTGATTTGATCATCATTATTCATCATTTTCCCAAAACATATATCATATAATCATATATATATATATATTATTCATATATAGGACACAAATAGCTTCAAATGAGAAGTAGTATTCACTATTATCAAACATAGCCATGTAATTGCAGAAAAAGGCAACAAAAGAGTAAACAATCAAAATATAATAGACAAATATGGCCATCTGGCTACTTGGCTACTTCACCCTCCCATATGTTCATTCTTGAAAGGCCAGGGTTGTCAGTCGCTTCTCATTCTTCAAGCCCCGGGCACGATGGCCAGGGTGACTTTGCCATCCTGGGGTCCCTGGTGATGGGCTTCTGGAATTCCTGCGCATCCTGCTGGGAGTGGACCAGCCAGACGAGAACGAATAGCCTCATGCAGAAACAAAAAGTGGCTGGCTGGAACAAGGGCTCAGCGGTCTTGTGTGTGTATATGTGAGCGCGTTTCTACACATTGCAAAATGAAGGACCCACACACCATAGTACAACGCACAGTATGCCCATGCATGTGCGCATAGCACTTCCCTGTGCGTGTGAATTGTGCGAAGTGCACCAAGGTCCATGAATCTTAGTGGGTAGAATGCGTTTCTTCCGTTCGTGTACCCCTGGCAACCCCAGTCTTTCAGTAGCTAAGTAATCTCAAATTTCAAGTTGGGGATATTGGCGAATGTTTTTATGAATATCAAAGAGGAATTCTTTGCGTTGCTTTGAAGCTGAAGCGGGTTATATGATGCCCCCATCTAGGCACTACGCCACTGCCGATGATTAAAACATATTAAAACTGGCTTACTTTGTTATTGTGATGAAACACCAGGAAAAGAAAGAGACATTGACATAAATAAGAAGAACTGAAAAAGGAGAAGAAAAGGAAGAAGAAGAAGAAGAAGTTGTTTCAGAAATCATTGTACTGATGATCGTGATCTCAGGTCGTTTACATGTACTTCATTCTTGTCCTGCTGCTCTTGTTATTCTCTTTGGTTCCAAAAAATCCTAAGGGAGATACTTTGGAGCAGCAAGAAACCAGAAAGCCATGCGGAGATTTCAGGCCGCAACTTCCATAGCTATAGTAGCTGTAAAGGCTGCAGCTGCGGCTGGGGCTGCGCCCCACCTGGCATCCCATTGAAATTTGGCTATTTGAATCTATTGGACGATGACCTGCAATCAAAATTGATCAAAATTGCATAGTTTGCCGCAATTGTTGCTAAGTGCGAGTCTACTAAGGCAGTCACTGAGGATTGATCACCAATGCTTCAAGAGAACACACTTGGTCCAAAGTTGCTCACATTCAAATGTGCGCACTTAAATACGGAAAAGCCACGCATATATCTTTTACTTCAAAGTATCACCTTCAAATCTGAGTCAATAGGTAGCCTCAAGGATCCGCGGAAACCGCACCAAACCAGGCCATGCGATACCATGTCGCGACTTCCAGCACGGCCACGTCGTTTGGGCCCAAGTCGCTCCTTCATGTGGTATGGTCATCCATCCCATTATGGGAATTCTATGGGATTATTATGCATAATATAATAATGGGCTTCAATTGAATGAATGGGCCGATGACCATCCCAAAAATTGGCAATTCAGCCACGTTTTGATAAAATGGCAATAAATGGCATATATGACCACATGCTGATATATGTTAAAACATGTCAGTGATTTAGTGATTTACAGGTATATGCAAATATTGCTTTCTAATAATTTGTTGTAGCATAGTTCTTGAACAGAAACGTCCATCGACCAGGTCGGGCGCTTCACTTTCGCGTGCCTGAGGAGGCTCTTCCTCAGGTTCCTTCCGTTCATCTGGGAGAATCACCTGCAACAGCCAACTGAGACAAAACAGAGCAGTCACAAGGTGCAGCACATCTACATATGACGATCTAAAGATCGATCCCAAATATCCCAACATAATCTTAAAACTGATGATGACCCTGTGAGTAAAGTATATCATCGTTCTTGTCATTTTTCAGTAGCTCCATTGGCATCTTGGCACGTCTGGCTGTAGGTTGTTTGTAACCTACATCATGCCTTGGCAAAATTTCATGCACAAGACGAATTCAATATCTAAGTGGTGGATGTGTAAAAGGTGTCATCCAATTGACATTAACATCCACTGCAGGTGCAAGTGGAACTCTGGCCCGTGAGGCCCCAAGAAATCCTTTCCTCACTTCGGGCTCAAGGCAAACCATTCCATCTCATTCCTTGTCAGCTCAGAAGATCTCTGAACTCAAAGGATTCTCATCTGACAAATCTGCCACCTTCCCCATGATGGACCTGAAGAAGGCTCTGTTGCTGGTCAAACTTGACGGAACCTGTTGCTCCCATGGTGCTGGGCCCAGTGCCTTGTGGTGCCAAAACACACGGCCCCCTGGGCCCCTCCGTGAAATCCACCCCTCAGGCGCTTGCTCTGGAGGTGGCAGCGAGGGCGGATCCAAACGTTGGATCAAAGTGGCGGGGAGTGACATGGATGCGTCCTCCACGGGTATGCGGAAAGCCCCATGTTCAATGGAGAATGTTAATTATATTATATTATATCATATTATAATATATATATATATAGCACATGGATGATCATGGATGGGTATTAATGATCAGAAAAGGGTATTGATTTCCCAATGATCCCTTCCCGCCAACTATCAATACCCACAGAAACCCGCTAATCATTGGCATGCATGTTTGATCATTTTTGTGTCTCATTGGCTCATTGGCATTAAAACTTGGTCTTGCCATGGGCACATATTGCCGAACATGACCTGCTGGATTCAGACTAAAAATCTGACTGTGCAACTGACAGCCTGTCCTTTCGATCCTTCTGCTCCTCATCGCATTCCTCTGAACAAATGCGTCGTCCGCTCGCGGAAGTGCAGCAATGCCAGTCCAACCACCAGCTCCGCGGCGCAGTGATGGACTTTCGCTGCGCACGTGGCCGTGCACCACTGCTGGCAGATGACATCAGCTCCCTGGGATCAGCATCCACCGCGAAGGACACAGCCACTTGACCAACCTCCGTGCCATCCGACCCTTTCAAAGACACCATCTGCACAGCACTGGCCCAGCGGAACCAGTCTTGCACTTGCACTGGGCTGCAAACTGGGAGCACGTGCCGCAGCAGGTCAGCCGTGGCCTCCCCAACGATGTCGGTGGGAAGTTGCACCTTGACGATACCCAGCGAAATGTCGTTTTGAACTCGCAGGCGGAAGCTCAAGCCCGACTCGCTTTGCAGCTCCTGCTGGGAAATGTTCAGGTCTTTGTCTTCGTTTGACGATCACATTATTATATTGCCTGTGTGCCAACGATCACAGCACTGCATGTAGTTCCCAAAGGAGTAATTAACGTTGGTAAAGCAATGGATAGCAATGGTAAACCACCTCCAATTTTACATATTTTACTATAAGTGGATGGTATAAATGGATATAAATGGTATAAACCCTCAAAATACAGATGGTTGATTATTGCTTTACCAACATTCAACGATTCAACGATGTAGAACTGCCATGGCCAAGGTGCTTCCACGGAAGTGGTGAAGAGCATCACTGCATTGAATCGCCATGGGCACTCACGACCACTGGGAATCCACCCCGAATCTCGAGCACAGCTGGGTCGTTTCTCATCCCATTCCGCCGGCTCTGTTTCCTCCTGGACACCACCTGTTTTTTTAGCAGCTGGCTTGGTCTGAAAATTAGGGTACTAAAATCGGTTATCCGCGATTTGTTCCCATTCAAATTGCAATTTTGGGGTACAGCATCCCATCTCTGGACAACCAAATACGTAAGCACTTACACTCTTTGCCTTCACCTTCACGATTACAACGGTTGAAGAATCCGAAAGGCGAACCTGTTTTCGTGTGACAAGCACTTCCCGGTGTCACCTTACATTCACATTCCCACACTAGTTAAGCACTTCTAGGCGTCATTGCGGCCAGTTTAGTTCTGCTATCTACATCTCCATTCTACATCTATTCGGATCTATACGCCTCATTGTAGTTCCAAAGACAGGCACCACCACCAGCCTAGCACAGCTTCCAGGCATGGCCGTCTGGAATTCCAGGATCCTGGGTGCTCCAGCTGCTGGATGGACGCAGCAAAGACCTGCAGCAGGACCTGGAAGCTTCCCAGGGATGCATCGAATCCATCCATGATAGAATCAGCCTTCGGACCCTTCGGCCATGGGGATCGAAAAACTTGCTCTGGGGTCCCTTGCTGCATAGGAAAAAGCCTTCCGCCACGTGGGGCCATACTTGTGGGGAATAAAGAAGCCGGTTTTTTTCAGGTCAATGCTGCTTCTACAATCTCTCATAATATGTCTGTGTACTGTATTTCAATGTGCCTGAATTGCTTGTGCTTGTCGAGCGTTCAATGAAATGAACCTTGATCCACAAGGATCGGACAGGCATGTCTCCATCTTCCTGGTTGCTCCAAAATGTTCCAAAAAATGTAAATCCTTAAAAAATCGTCACAGCCATCAGCCATTCCAAGAGCCTTGTGATCCACCTGCTCGTTGGGATCAATGAGCTGATACGGATCGTGAATAGTCTTGGGTTGCTCGCCACCCCTCAGCGCTCATAGATGCTCATAGTGGGTCGACCATGGCAGGACTCCGGGGATATGGCGTTTGTCATCGTTTGTCTCAATGGGGATGCCGGGATGCCAGGATCGGTCGCCGATGAATGTTGCGAAATCAGAACACATGAAGCAGTGGGATACCAAATGATACCAGGATCCTGATGGCTTTTTTTGGTGTTTTTGCCAAATGTTGAGACATCCCATGGATAAGTGGCACAGCACAGCTGAGGCTTTGGCTCTCGCACTGGTCTGCCTCGGCAGTGATTCTGGGCCAACATTTTGGTGCCAAAACAATTGCCGCAGTTTACGCACTTTTGCTCCGTAGATTCCATAATTTTCCTATATACAATAAACGGTTTTGGAATTGCTTTCAGACCTTCTGAGAGGCACAAGATGGTGCAATTCCTTGTCACCCCAAGTGAAGCGCAGAAAAATCAACCGCCAAGCCACGTTTTCGCGCCACCTTCTTTGCACCTGACCCGTTGCATGCGTTTTGTCTTCGCGTCAACAGTCCTAAGATGTCCTAAGGGTGTTTGACCTCACCCTGGAACAACCATGGGGTCTACAATGGTATAACGGTATACCATTGGCATACCGATATGCCCCAAATGTTGGCCTAATAATAAAGGAAAATGACAATGATGAGTGACCAGGTAGATTTGGGGATATTTGGGGGTACCCTAATTATTGGATAAGCCCGAAAATGTGCCTTCTGCAGAACATGCCCTGCAAATCCCTGCATCGTCCGACACTTCTTCGATCACATGGCCTGGCTTTGCCTTTGGTGCTTTCGCTGGTGGGATCTCCTGTAGAACATGGGACCACCATGGACCACAATGGACCACCAAATAAATGCTGGGGTGGAACTTCATGGGGCAGTGTCGAAGAGTCAACAATAGTCAACACGGAAAACGATTGAAAACTCATGCAAATATCTGCAAATCATCTGTCAACTTCTGACTTGACAAATCATGCCTGAGAATTGTGGTCTCAAAAAATGCTCCAAAAAAAGTCGTCCATCTGCCACCCGAGGCCGGAAACCCGTCACCCCCGACCAAGCCGCTGCCTCTCGTCCAGGATGGAGGCCTGGACGCATAGCCATGGCTAAACCACCCTCAGCGCACTATACACATGTTTTTTTTCCCTAAAAATCCTCTACACGATCCTGTGGTTGAATAGGGTTAATTACATGGCATGAAATCAGGCTCCCACTTATATAAATCTTGCATGCATCTAAACCCCCCTCAAGTCTTTGAAAGGGCAGCAGATTTTTTCTCCACAAATCGGCCCAAAGGGCAGCGCCAGCGCAGTGGCTTTTTCCTCCACAAATTGGCCCAAAAAGATGCAAAAGGCTTAATGAGCCCGGCTCATCTCAACATTTATCCTCGCTCATGCATCCACAAGTCGACTTGTTGAAATACTGCCCGTAATTCTCCTTCCAGTGGCCCAAGCTGTCCGCCCACACGGCATGGCCATGGCCGTGTAGGCTGTCCGATGGCAAACTGCACTCCTTCTCGATGACTGTGCTCCAACCCCACGTGTTGTGGTCCAGGGCATGCGTCGGCCACGGTGTCCAGGCACCCACGAAGTGGCTAGATTGTGTGGAGCCTTTCCATTTGCCACTTCGCGCATAGCCACAAAGGATGGCATGGCAGTCTTCACGAGCTTTCAACATCTCCACAATTTCCGTTTTGTTGGAGCTGCATGAGTTCATCTCTTGTTCTCAGCAGACCAAGTGACGCATAAGTTCACTTGCTTTCCGCTTTTGCCAGTTGCTGACAGCCAGCGACACTGGTAGAAGGTGCCCTCATCCTGCAGCCCCTCTGCATAATAAGTGCTGCACTTCTCTTCTGTGGTATCTGCTTCATAGCCACAAAGTCCATGGGTCACACCATCCCTGATTGATGCCCCATAGTTGGGCGGACTGGTCCAACCTGCGAAGGTCTTAGCGTCGCAGCTGCCACTCGCATCTGCCCCCTTTGTGGCACGCATGGCATGTCCGGGGAGAAGGTGGAGGCAAAGCGTGGCAGACACTGCGAAACGGAACATAACTGCCAAAGGACAAAGAAATTGAGCACACAGTAGTTGCTGAGGGTCAGGCTTGAGCAAACAAGCCAAAACGAACGGTAAATGTCTTATATGTCTTCTTTCTCTCCAGCATGATTTCTGATCGCCAACAGGGCGAAATGGCTTGCACCAGGAGATGGATCGCAGCTTGGCCTTTCCGACTTTGGCCATAGCCGTAGCCATAGCCACCAGCCTGGTGAAACATGTTCAAAGGAGTCCCTAAACACCGGTGATCCGGTTGTCCGGCTGTCTCTACATCATATGGTCAAGAATGTTGAGGTCTTCTGAACGAATTCCCTGCTGTTGGAGAATGATGGACTTTGGGAAATTTCCGGTGTTTCTTTTCACAGTGCCTTGTGAGACAAGGTGTGTTTATCTAGTGTGTGTGGTCTCCTTGAAGGCCAGCACATTCCCCCACAAAGGATTTGATACATAATCAGGGGTCCCCATGTCCATTGAGTCACCCCGCCAAACCCAACAGATCTCTGGTCATAAATTCATCAGCTTAGCAGCTAGTTGTATCCCCCTGATGCCAGGTTACAGGCACAGCACCCCCAACCCTATCCTCAACGGATCGGCTTCGGGATCGTTCTTGAATCCTAGCCAAACATGACACAAACCTACAAGAATCTTGCAAGAAGTTAGGATGCAAAGCACATGCTTCAGAGGAACCAGTTTTCTCCGAATGTGACAGTAGGATAAACTAGCCTTAAACAGGAGAGTGAAGCTGACTAGCAATGGGCAGTCTGCGAGGCCGTGTTCATTGAATTTTGCTGCTGCATCCCTGATGGAGCCCGGAATAACCCCGACATTTTATCAATTATCATACCAGGATAAAGTACTGCAACAAATACAGTTCTCATACCAGTGTAGACGTTGTAGTTGTCAAGATTATGATGATCAATGATTGCCAATTATGATCATCTTATCAGATTTATATACATAGGTTATCATAGATTTACTAATTATTAAATGGATATTATTCAATTACGACCACGATTAAAAGAGTCGTTTTTTTGCGTAGAATTTGAGCAGCCCACTGGCGCCACCTCTCCACAGCCAACGTTGTCCTCGTAACTTCATGGCGGTCATGAGGATCTCCTGGAAAATGGTGGAAAAGTGAGTGTTTCCCAAAAAAAGGGGGTACCCCAGGATCATTTTGTTGTCTTAGATATCTTGCATATATCTTGTATATTTGTGGTTTTAACCAATTTTTTGGGATGTTTTTTTCGCCCATATTTAGAAACTCTCTCTGTCTGTCTTCATCGCCATCGGGTCAGCCTGCCCTAGCATCAGCTAGGAAGCGAGATTGGATACCAATGGATACCAACAAACTATGTTACAGAGCTTTCACCTATAGGAGCAAGACTTGAGGCCGGGGGTGGATGACGAAAGCTAGCCTAGCGGGGTAAGAGAAAGAAGGATGGAAAACGCGATAGTGATGACGAGAAGGATGGAAAGAAGTATATGTTTAGATTTGATGATGATGATGATGATGACGATGACAAGGACGATGGCGAGGACGATGACAATGAGGATGATGATGACGATGATGATGACGATGATGATGACGATGATGATGATGATGGTGGTGATGGTGATGATGATGATGATGATGATGATGATGATGGTGACGATGACGAGGACGATGGCGAGGACGATGATGATGATGATGATGATGACGACGATGATGATGATGATGGTGGTGATGGTGGTGGTGGTGGTGGGGGGGGCCCTTTCGTGTGAAAAATCACGTGATGTCCTTGAGCAGCCCCCGGAATGCTTGCTAAAGCAAGAAGACTCCAGCTAGCTGACGCTAGCTTTCGTGACATGGTTCAAATCACTTTTTTTGGAAACTCCCATGTTTTTTTTCCGGGTATATACAGTAGGTGCTGTGCCGATCCTCTTTTCCGCCAGCTATCTCGGCTGTCGCCTCGTACAACCATTCAGGCGGTCCCAGACACCAAGACACACGTGTCCAATATTTGATATGCCACAAGCATTGCCATACTTACAACATGGTGTTTAATAGTGTTTAATCATTTTAATCACTCTTGATCACTCTTGAATTTTTGGCTAACATCCGCCGTTTTGCGGTTGGTTCTTGGTTGTGCATACTAAAAAAGGTCCTACCAAGGTCGCAACTTCAGCAACGTTCAACACACGGCCGGCATCTCAGCCAGAGGCCACGACCATGTCTCGGCCGGCTGTCCCGTCTCCATCTGGACCTTGGAAAAACCATTGAAAAATGGATTGGTTGAAGGGGACACATGCTGGAAACCATAGTTTTGTTTCAAACCAGCATATCTTATATGGGCGTTCTTTTCATATGTTTTCCCCACTTTTATCGATTACATGTGGTTTTTACATTTATATCATTTATATTCATACACCGCATTTATGACATCTTGCCAAGGATGTGTCATGTTGGAAGAGATATCTATGGGTTGGCTATTGATCCCATTGGTTGCTGCGAAAAACATGGAGGATATGGTCCTTGTCTTTCCGAGCAAGCGCTAGAAAACTAGCTGGACATATAGTTTTAATATAACATATTATTTTTTTTTGATCGGCCCTTTGAGTCTCCTCGCGGCGTTCATGCACCAGCACGTTTATTGGGGCTGGTAATCCGGCAAATAGCTTCTGTCGGGATCCACCCGGGCAGAGGCATCAGCCAATTCAACTGCAAAGCATGAAGGAGCTTCGCCTTCAATGCCAAGGGGCAGCTTTTCGATATGCCGCCAAATTGCGGTGGCAAAACAACTACACAGGTTGCTGGGATACTCCTTCGCAACCTCTGTCTTGAACTTGCCACTTTCATTGCGTCCAATCAAGGCTTCAGTTGGTCGCTCGATGCCTCTCAAAGCAAATTCCGCCAGCACATCCGGAATCTTGTTGTTGGCAAACAAAAGGGTCGTTGGTTTGACCCCTTTGGAGCCGTGGCGCCATTGTTGAAACGTGTGTCTTCTGAAAAGCCATCCTTCTCGTAGAAGCAGTGTGACCAGCCCTGTACGGAAAATGGATGGCCGGTCTTCCTGGTAAGGTGGTGCCGGGTGTTCCAACATCACTGCCCCACCTGTCAATGCGATGGGGATGCACAACCAGAGGCCACGCAACAAAAGGCAACTGCCCACAGAGAGCTGTTTCAACTCTCGCAGGTAAAGTCCAGGGATGCCCCAGCAAGCCTCTGCATGTCGTAGAGGTCGTGGTCCTTGAAGAAGTGCTCCATCATCCGCATGGTTGAGCTCGTGTCTGGCACTGCTCCATGTTTCGCAGGGAGGTCCTAACAGGAAGCCCAAAATTCGTCCCTCTTTGGCTGTTGATAACAGCCAGCTCCACAAACGCTCAGAATGGACGTTCATACTGCTGTCAATAGCAGTGTCCAGCGAGATCACAGTGATATGATTCGCCCACGCCTGCGGGCAATCGGCAATGAGCTTGCTCATATAAAAGTGAAAATCTGCTTCTCGACGTCGGCCAGCGTAGAAGTGGATGACGAAGTAGGGGCCCTGCACAGGGGCAGCTCTGCGATTTGGCCTTGTTGTCATTCTCCAGGCACGTCGCTGTAGCTCCTGCTCCTTCATCTGGTCATAACACGTCTCAATGGGATGGAGTCGTGCTTTGCGCTTGTTCACATCCTGAGGGGCATCATTGTGCCTCTGTTCGTCCTCCTCTTGCTCCAGAAAGAGAAGCTGTCTTTGCAATTGGTGGTAGCGGAGCCGCAACTTCCAGATATGCAAATCTTCGAGCAGCGTCATCATCGCTTCATCCAGTGCTGCCATGTAATCCAGTTGGTCTTCATGTGGCACAAAATCAGCAAAACATGTCTCAGACCAGTGAATAAATAGCCTAGCAGCTTGAAATTCAGGAATGTCCAGGGAAAACATGGTGGCAAAGAAGAGGTTGTGGAAACTCACAATGTCAGGTTGGTCGCCAGCAAACCATCGCTGAAGGCAATCATCAAATGCCTGATGACATCTGGCAGTGAGTTCAGTGCTTTGGTTAGGTTCCCACCATGCATAGTCTGGTTGACCTTCGTCCCACACCTGCTGCAGTTCTCGACGAACCCTCAGCTTTTCTCGTTGTCGGGAGGTTGGTCGAAGAGGCCCATGATGCCTTCGTATCACTGGCAGCCTACAGACTCCGGCAAGGTGAGCTGGAAGTGCAACACTAGCAGGGTCATCTGGCATTCTCACGCCATGTAAGCGATCCCAGCATTGATTCCCTCGATAGCGTAAGTGTTGCACTACCCGAAACGTAGTGTGGAACGTTCGTAAACATCCTGCGCAGACTTCAGACTGGACATAGCGACTTTCTGCGGATCGTTGCTGATGCACCCTGAAGGCATGCAACGCCAATTGCTGCGCTGAACAGAAAGATGCATCACAGTGTGCACAAGGGTACATCTTCTGCTTGCGCGCATCTAGAGAAGATGGTGCTGGTGCCAGCTCCATGCCAGCCTCCTCAAGTTCCGTCTGAATTTGGCGATGGTAAAAACCAATCTCATACGCGATCTTCTCCTGCTCGAGATGTTTCGCAACTGCTGTCACAACCCATTTGCGCCATGGTCTGCAATCGCGAAGAGCACTCCAAGCTGAGATCCAACCAGCGCGATCAACAGGTATGTCAAACGGCAGTTCATGGAATTTGGCCATCCATCGAAGATCATCTGCAACTTCGAAAAGCCAACCCTTCTCATTTTGAAACTCCATAAGGAGTAACGATTTGTGAAAGGTATGTCCATGGCTGGCAAGGTGGTGCAAATAGCAAAGGCGATGCCGAGCCCAGAAGATGCGGAATGAGACCAATCTGCTACTTTGCAAAAATGCTTGATCAGTGAGGTGGTCAGATGACCAGAAACCTGTATTGCAAATTCTTCTGTAGAAGCCAGTGACTGTCGCCTCAAGCTTCCGGTACGATGCTGCAGAGAGCTCAGCCCAAACGGCACACCCATACAGCAGTCGAGAAAGTACAAGACTCTGAAAAAGCACAAGCCGACCAGGGAGTGGTATAGCTTTGTTGCAAAAAATGGCTTTCCGCATTTGTGCGAAGGCTTGGTGCGCTGCACCTACCCTCGCAATCACTTCCCGATCGTAGTCCAAGTTCATGGCAAACCTCACCCCAAGGTGACGATATGATGATATGACCCTCATGCTCAAAATGTGGGTTTCAGTGGTCGTAGTGACCCTTGGTTGGTTCTCGATGTCGAAAAGGAGAGTTCTTTGTGCAACTGCACCAGGACCTCGGAACATCACAATGAGCTCGGATTTGCCTTTGTCAAGGTTGAGCGTCAAGCCACGTTTTCTGAAGGCCGCATGCACAATTTTTGTGGTGTCTTGAATCAGTGGCACCAGCTGGATAGCTTGCGAAGTGGTCAGGCAAATTGCCACGTCATCCATCCATGCAATGGGCGGCACATACGTTCCAAGTTCTGTAGCTCCCTGTGTGCAGTCCTCAATCTGCATGAGACCTGCTTGAATTTCAGAGAGCAAAGCCGACATCATTAAGTTGAACCCGATGTCAGCTAAAGGTGATCCTGGGCGGGTTCCTCTTCTTGTGTGCGTGCTGCGATGGTTTGCATCCTCTGCACGTAGGAAAAACCATGTTTGTTGATGTACATCATGCAGAAATTGACGTAGCCCAGGCTGTATATCAGAGATGTCAGCATTACAAAGGGTGTCAAGATCTGCACAAAGTTGCATCAGGTCACACTCACTGCCATCCAAAAATTTTTCAAGGACCTCAAGTGCCATGTGGTTCTTGGTCGCAAAAATCAATTCGCGCAGCATGTGGTGGAAGGCAGCTCTCAGGTCAATAAACATGACAGCACTCGACAAGTGTTTCATGTGGGCGACGTGACCATGTACTCTCACAGCTTGGACTCCTGTGATCGTCTGCTGTGAGGGCAAACCGCCTAACTGGCCCAAGGTCTTGCGCTCCAAGAGGGTAGGGAGAAGCTTCTGCCTAGCCCATGAGTGCAGGATTTTGGCATAGGTATTCGAGAGGAGAATACCCCTATACCCTGCAGCTTCCATCGGGTCGCTCTTCCCTTTGAAGATCGCACAGAGCCTCCCACCCTTGAATTCATATTGTTCAATGCCATGGATGAGAGATTTGCAGGCCACTGAATGGACATGTGGGGCAATGGCAACGGCCCCATTGCGACATAGATCCGCAGGGATCAAGTCTGGTCCTGGAGCTTTTCGCGGGCGTTGCCTCAAACATATGTTCTCAATTTCAACCAGGGTGGGCAATTCCTTGATGTTGAGATGTCGTTGGGCAATGTGCTCATGCTGTTCAGCAAGATTGCGCTGGAAACATCTTTGTCGAAGTTCAGCATGTAGCATTGATTCACCAGCTTCAAGCTCCTCAAAATGTTGCAAAAGCTCTTCGTCGATGTCTCTCCGTGCTTGATGAACTTTAGATCTGTTTTTGGGAAGCAGGCATCGGAGCTGTTTCCAGATACCATTGAGACCCTCTGCAGGAAAAGTTCTTGTGGTTTGATCAGCGATCTGCTGATAGAATTTTCCATCCTCATGTCGAATCGCCTTTTGTGCTGCTTGCGCTGCATTTTTAAAATCTCGTTGCGTGGTTGCAACAGAGAGGTCATGAAGGCGAAACCAAACTGGTAGGTCGCGTTCAAACTGGGCAATATGTCCGGCATCGCAACGCCATGTTCTCCATCCAACAAAGCATGCTCGCAAAATCGTTTGGTGCTTGGCTTTCTTGAGAGCTCTCAACTGCTTGAACAGGTTCTTCTTCTGATCGACAAGGCACCAAGTTTCGGTTGAGATATGCGATTTTCGTCTCCATTGGACTCGAGGTTTGGCCAGTTGAGGTAGAACTGCTGAAGTAGATGTAGAGAGCCATGCAGCACTCGAGTGGGGATCAAGGCTCCAGTTGGGGACTGTGATCGATGAATGCAGAAAATGTTGATATTCTGCATGTGCTAAATTGCGCGTCAGGTCATGAACATCAAGTGGCACATTTCGAGAGCGAGGTCGATCTTGTCGAGAAGCTGTTACAAAATGCACTTGACAAATGACAGCTCGATGATCACATCTGGCAATTGATAAATCAATCTCATCACTAACCCTTGAGACAAGCTTGTCATAGCTCAAGGACAGTGGAAGCGCAACGTAGTCAATCCTTGTTTCATGGCCATGCGGAGAACAGAACGTGGCGCTTTCGCCTTGATGATGATCAGAGAAAGTGGCTGGTACAAAGAGTTCATACTGCAGAAGCCACTCATGAAAAACTTGTCCTGCTTGATTCTCGCATACTGGGTGAAAGTCTCCAACTGAGTCTGTAATCACCTCCCCAAGATGAGCATTTGTATCTCCACAGAAGAAAATGGGGTGTCCTCCTCCTTTCTTTTTCAACAAGGTGTCAAGGTGACGCCAAAAATTGACTGCTTCATATCGTGGTCGTCCTGAATGTGGTGCTCGACATGTGACAACGATAAAAGTCCATCTGGTGGTCTTGATTTTGGCAACTAAGAAGCTGGGGCCAGAATCCAAAATGCGGACGTCTTCTCTGCCAATTCGATCACCTTCACTTGTGTAAGGCAGTTGTTTGGAGATCCACAATTGAATACCATCTTGGCCACGTTCATCAGCACAATGTCCAAAGATGTGATAGAGCTCATTGTTGTGCCCTGCTAAATGCCGGTGTCTGGTCTCTTGGACTCCAACAATCGTGCAGTGGGCCTGATGAAATTGTTGCATCAATAAAAGCTGTCGAGTAACCGAAGTTGAACTGGAGCTCTGATCCAGCGTCAGGACATTCGCAGTGGCAATGGTGAGGTTCACCGATATGCTTGTTGCCAATGGTTCAGCAGAACCAGGGGCATTCAAGTCATGCTCATCGATTGGGATGCGTGGCACAAGGCTGATCAAATTACCATTGAAGAGTCGAGGTACTCTTGGGTCATTGCATTGCATCAGCTCGGCATACCAAATCCATTGCAAAGCGCAGAGCTTGTCCTCATCATTGAGCCAAACTTCCCAGAAGGTGCTCCAGCCAGCTCTGTCAGGGTGGGATGCAGCCCAACCCGCAAGTGCATCAGCACACTCATTCCAAGGGTGTCCTTGATGGGCTTTGATGTGGTTCCATTGGATATTGCTTTGACCATGTCGAGTTTGGAGAATTTGCGCAAGGCTTCTCATAACAATCCTCCATGTATGTGCATGGGCAGTTCTCCAGAAGCCAGCAGCCATATATCCAGAGGACGTGGCATCAAAGTTGAAGGTGAACCTCACATGTTGGTGTCCATAGAGCTCCCAATGTTGTTGACTCAGCGATTGGGCCCAGAGAAGGGCCCAAATGATGGCTCCATGCTCGCCGTAGATGGAGGTGTGCTCTGAGGAAATCGCCTTATACAAACATCCACCATATTGCCATTCATCGTTGCACTCAATTATCATGACAACTCCTGATCCAACATGCCCAGCGTTGGATTTCGAGCCATCTGTGAAAAAGTGAAAACCAGTGGGAATGCTGGTGGGCTGTGAAGTCAAGTCATTGAATGCGCAGACTGTGACTTCAGGCAGGTCAAGATCTTCAGGCCACGGTTGTCCAAATAAATAATTAATACTTCGAAGCTCATCAGCAAGATGCAGTGTTGAAGAAAAATCCACACAAACAAAGGACGGATGATCAATGCAATCCGCCAACTGAAGGGTATGTACAGGTCGCTGGGTATGAGCTACCTGCCCAGCTGTTTGGCACCTGTCATCCCGATGAAGTTTCGTAGTGTGGACTTGGAGGAAACTGGAAGCTGCGTCTGCAGCAGATGGTTCATCATCATCCCAATTCCAACTGAATGGCACTCGTAAGTTGATGATGAGCATAAAGGCTTGGCCATGTTGACATCGATATGGCCTCGTGTCATCAAGTTGCCATCCTCCTTGCCACGTGGTGCAAGTGGTGTGAGGATTTCTTGGAGGGCAAACATGTTGATGATTGACTGCAACAAGAAGCGCAGTTTGGCTCACCAAACTCGGGAGAATGGCAGCAGTGGTATATGGTGCAATTCCTTGTGCAGTGTCATCATAGATCGTGACAATGTTGGCTCTTTCTCCAATGTGAAGTTGCTGGTGAACAATGATGTGGATGCGCGAAATGTCCAGGTTACTTTCAGGCGATTCCCAAACTATGGCAAAATCAGTGGCTGTCATGGGGTCGAGAAGATCCTGCCATCTTCTCCGAAGATGAGCTTCCCACGCATGAAAGTCATCTCCCAAAATAACTTGTCTGGACTCATCATTCATGCGCAAACGTTCGGAATGGAGACACCAGGTATTGACTGAAAGTAGTCGCTCAAGATTCCCTGGCCCAACTCTGGCATGAACATCCCAATGCTCGAAAAGTGCAATGGTGAAGTCAGTTTGGTCCGCCAGGAGCGGTGCAGCCACAAGAATTGGCTGCTCTGCCTGCGTGCTCACTGTGAGCCACTGGGGACTGACTTGTTGTTCATCACCAACATGGTGCGTAAGCACAGGAGGATGCACATTGAAGATAGCACTATCTCCTTCATTCAGGTAGACAGGGTTGTGATCCCTGAAAAACTGCTGTCCAAGTTGGAGTTCACAGAGTCGGTCTCTGCAGAATCTTGTCAGTTGGCATCTGTCACGCACATACTGGGTAGTTGTGGGTGTATTCATTGCCGCTGCAACGTAGTTGATGCCGGTATGTCGATCAGTGATGAAATTGATTGTGAGCAAAAAAGGCACCAAAGGCGGATGGAAATTTTGGAACAAAATCAAATGTCCAATCGTCCAGCTTGCATCATGTTGAGGAGGTTCAGGAGTGACATGAACGATGTTCAAGGGCTCCATTTGCTGAATCCGATCCTGCCATAGTGCTTCAAGATCACGCTTCCAGTGTTGTGAGAATTGGTCAAGTTGTAGTGGTCGACTTTCTTCCGAAAGTTGTTCCAGCGGACCTCGCAGATACCAAGTAGTCACAAAAGCAACTGGACCTTCTTCTTCATGTGCAACAGCAGCTCGAGCAGTGAACTCAGCAGCTATTGTTCTTTGCCAAGAAGGCATCAAGTCATCACCATGTTCATCATGCCTGTGGTGATGTGCATCTTCGTGTCGTTGAAGTTCTGGTGGTTGACATTCAGCAAAGTTGTGAGTCTGTTTGACTGGCAAAATTCCTGAAGTCGCTTCAAATTGCAGTGTAGTAATTGAACTTTGAAGGAGGATATGCTCATCAGGCTGTTCATTTGGTTGTGCAAGTTCTTGAGCAGCTTCAACATCGGTGAAGAGCTCATCAGGATCTGGCTGCCGATTGTGACGGTGGACAATCTGTCTCGGAGTCAATCCATGTTGGCATGCACGAACAGCATAATATGTAGGCACATTCTCATACTGGAAAGGCGGCACCGCAATACGCACATAATCTCCATGATGCAGGTCAATGTTGCCCTTACTTTTGGCAGGGATGAGCGATCCTCTGTGCCAGAGAAGACATCTGTTCTTCATGGTGGTGCAGTATTGAAGTACTCCAGCAATCTTCAAAATCAGTGACCTGTGAATAGGTGTGGGAATCAACGTGGTGTATCTGTCAATTTCAATGGTGGAATCCCAATTGGGTCCATGAAGTTCGACGTCAACCAGGATAGCACGCCTGTTGTCACCAAATCTGACATCATCATGAGCCAATAGAAGAAATGGTGCAGTGTTGGCAGCACGCAAGTCATCAGGCGGTGGGTTGATGTCATAAATGTCGGCCACGTCATGGAAACAATATCCTAGAAGTCTTCTGATATCCGAGAAGACTGCTTCTGGAGGAGTGGTATGGACACGCCCATGACCGTAGTTGGCTTTCAGATCATATACATGAGCAGATTGCCAGGCATGGTGCTCCGGGAAAGACGAAGGTGAAGTGGGTGCCTGATCATCAAAGTCAGAGTCAATTTCAGAGCTGTCACTCGGTTGGATCAGCCTTGGTCTTCTGGCCATGAATGAAGAGTCATCATGAAGCTCATCATGGAAGTCTGACACCTTGATGTTTTGTTGGCCTTCATCACCATGTGGTTGAAGTCGAGGTGGATAAAAACTGTCAATCACTTCGCAAAATGGAAGAAAGGTAACACGAGGCTTCCGTTGCATCCAATTGCAATTTTTGATACAAGATTTGAGGTTGGCTTTTGGCTCCAAATGGGGTCGCACAATTGTTGCTGGGTTCACATAGGAGAGCACTTCGCTTCTCAAAAGTGTGGCCCTTCCAAGCGCAACAGGTTCCGAAATGAACTTGGGATCCCAATGGATGGAATGGCAGCGAATAAGGGTGCGAAGGTCTGAGTGGCTTGCTGCATCGCGGCAATGATTGCGGCAATAGGCATCAGCCTCCTCAGTCGCCTTCTTTTCCATCAGTGGCTCATGAAGGTTGTTCCGAAGACACAAATCCTCACTGCCGTAGTTCACTGCTTGGGTGAAGATGTGGGCCCAACAAATCCAGGTTGTTGTCCACCTGCGAATGGCTCCATGGATCGAGGCCTTTTCCTCCTGTCTGCATCTTCCTCCTCCTCGTCCGACATGAGCTCGACAGGCTTGTCGGCTGAGGCTGCTGCGATGCTCTGCTCGAGAGATTCCTGGACTTGTTGCACTAGCGCTTGAGCTTCCGCTTCGAAATTGGGGCAATTGTCTTGATCTGCAGGATTGGCCATCACCTCTCCTGTTTCGGTTGACACCGGGGCACCGATCTCGGCTGCCTGCTTGTTCAGATTCTGCAAATGCCGCCTGGCTGTATTGAGCTCCTTCTGCGCTTTGGTGAGTTGCTCTCCGTGCTCCTTCTGCTGGTCTTTGAACAACTGCAGCTGCTTCTGCCAGCTCGCAACTGAGTCTCGGAGATGTTTCAGCCAGTTCTGTCTGTGAAGAGCTCGAGCATCTTTGACTGTGGAAAGCTGTCTGGCAGCTTTTCCAACTTGTTTGGAAGCCTTGTTCAAATCTGATGTCAAAACCTTCGTGGTGGCTTTTTCTGATTTGTCGACTGCTTTCTGGATGTCCTCCGGTGCCTGCGAAAGGTCCGGATAGTGCTTCCTGACAGCCGAAAGTAGTTCTGCATGGTGGGCAGCACTGGTTGCAGGCGCAATAGGCGCTTGTTGCTGTGCCGTGGTAGCTTCGGGATTGGGCCAAGGAGGGATGGCTGGTGGCGCTGGCTGCGCAAAAGGTGAGGGCAATGTTGCATCCTGACCTTTGAAGCCCTTTCCCTTGCCTTTGCCCGATCTCCGAGCACTCTCGCTCCTCCAACGCTGATTCTTCTTGCCCTTCTTGGTGGCTTTCTGCTGATTGTTCGTCCAATCCCAGCCTGTGTTGTACTCGGTGCTGCTGTGATACACCCGAGGACTTTTGGGCTCGTTGCTGTGGGGAGTCCCAGCACTCCAGTGCCCTTTGCAAGCAGGGCAATGCGTGTGGCGCTTGCCGTTGAGGCGGCCACAAGCACAATGCCACGGGTAGCTGTCGATCATGTCCATGATCTTTTTGATGTAGTACACGTCCTTTGAATGATGGGACGAAAGGGTCTTGGCAATCGCTAGAAGTCTCTGATCGGAAAGCACCAAGATCCCACTGCGGTGCTTGAACCAGAGAGCCCTCGCAAGGGCACGCTGTCTGCGTTGCCTTCTCCTTTGTGAGCTGGTTGTCAATGTCGTAGCTGGCAAAGGTAAAAACCAAAAGGACAGAGATCAACCACATCCACCAATCAAGCCTCCTCCCGGTACAGCTTGAGAACAAAATTGGCAAAGAATTGATGAAAATCAAATTTCCAAATGAGAGCGAAGTCCAAATATTGGGATGTAGCAAAGGGAAAATCAACCAATGTTACAAAGCCAGCAAATGAACAAATAGTAGACGTGGACCACGGCTGAAGAAAGCAAATGAAATAAATGCTGACCAGCTTGTTCAGGTAATCCACGAAAAAGGTAAATTCAAAGCAAATTGGTAGGCCGATTAAACGACAGCTAGCAATAAGCAAAGAAAATAGGTGAAATCGAGTGTTCGGCACACTCCAGAAGCCAGTGGCAGTCAAAGTCCCGGAGGTACCCAAAGTCCAGGAGAAACTGCAAAACCCAGGTGAGTTTTTTAATTGGTGCTGGGACACCAATCCCCAATGCAGCGCTGAAGCTCCAGCCGCAAGGGAGGCACCCGGAAGGCAGCCCAAATGGTGCCCGTGGAACGCGTGCGAGTTTCCACTAAGGTCGGTGCTTCTGCCAAAAGCGGGGGCTACCCACTTAATGACAGTTTCAGCCGAAACCTTAATATAACATATATATATATATACCGATCCCCATTTTCAGGTCAAATTCAACAAGCAGTCATTTCTATAGTAACGTACTATACTAGTTGCTTGTCTGAAGATAGTCCAAACGCCCATGATTCAAATCCGAAACAGTGCTGAACCCACGCAACGAAGATCAATTCTGCGGGAGATTTGAAAGCAATCGCTTCCCCCCCCTTGGTGAAGTGCATACGGCTTTCTTTAACGGTCGCTGCTCCCGTCTTTTCGCCACATCTTTGCCTTTGGCAAAAGGACTTGGGCTGGCCGAAGATAGCAGGGCGACATCGGCTCTCGGTTGGCTTCTCATAACAATTCAATCGCCTATGCGGACAACTTCTAACAGTTGAACAGTCGGCTGTCCCAAAAGTGCAAGCAAAATGAACGCATGCAACGCAATTATACTGTCGTTTGCAAGGCCGTTTAAAGGTTCACAACTTAAGTTAGAACTATTCCCTGTTCAATTCTTGCCAACCTAGGCCAATTGTCAGTCACGCTGGAGGCTGAGGGATATGCTCCAGTGCAACCTTCGGTACTTGAGTGTAGTGGATGTTAAGTGGTGGGAACCAAGAAAGGTACGGTGTTTCATGGTAGCTGTCAAATTTTCCAGAGTGGGTCCTTACAGAAATGGCTCCCATTTCTGTTCGCTCATGAAAGGAATTCCCCTTTCAAGCTTCACCGCCTGCCGGCTGTGCATTAACTTGATCTCTGTGTAGGCAACCACCCAGGCGGTCAAGCTCAAAAAGGGTGCACTAGCTGCTGACTCAGCGACTGAACTGTCGCTTGTCATTTGCATCGCGCTGGCCATATGGATTGTCTGCGGAAAATTGGTGACCCGAAGACTGTCCAGAAAGCTGCTTCTTTAAGGTCCCCTTGGTCCCTGTGGCTTTCTTTCTGGCGGTGTGTTTCAGGTTCAGCTCCACCTTGGGAGGATGTGCAAATCCAAAGGCTTTGGCCACCTTGGACAAGTCCAGCTTATGAACGTCGAAGCAATCTTTATGGCTGTGGGCTGCGTAGGCATGCATGTAGGATCGATAAGCATCCCTAGAACTCCGGTGCAAGTGGTAGTTCTTCTCGATCACTCTCCTAGGCAACATGAAGGTGAAGCCAAGATATGCCAAGTATATAAGGCTGAAACTGCCTGTTCAAAGTGAAAATGTTCACGATCCCAGAAGTGGGTGGGAATCATCAAATATCGTCAACTTTACCATCGAGTATCATCAAGACACATCATCCATCATCAAAATTAATCAGTATTATATTCACATGCATGATCATATATCATAAACATCATAAATCATCAATTACAATAATCAATTATAATCATCATTATAGTGCCAAAAAAAAATCATAATCAATCATAAAACATCATAAAACCGGGGTTACAACATTCAACCAATGTCCTTCTATGGCGACCACCTCAAACCGTGCACCCAAGGCATCCCAAGGCTCTCCAACTGCGACTGGATGTTAGCCTTGGCTGAGACACCACCAGTGCAACGTTTTGTGGTTAATTAATGTTTGTATATAATAGATAAATTGTTTGCTGTATATATATATATTGCAAATGTGATATAATATAATATAATATATCTTATATTCTTATATTACATATTATACATTATATATTCTAATATATCTATATATTGTATGTTATGTATATTATATAGAATATAGTATATATGTCATATGTTATGTATGGCTAAAACATGTTGAAATTACGCATGTGTTTCTTCTTCTTCATCATACTTGCTTGTGAGGTAGCCCTTGGTGCAGGCACTAGAAACTTGTTACACTTCTCGATTTCCACCTGCAAGCTCAGCTGCACAGCACGCGGTTTTCTGCTATGGCGTTGGGTGTATCACCCAGTCAGACCTTACAGAAGGTCAGGCGTTTCAAGCGCCTGGTATTGGCAAAAGGGATCCCTGAGCCACAGGGCAAGGTCATTCACACCTGTGGCAAATGAGTCCGGAATGACATGTTATGGCTGACTGACTTCAGTACCTGTGCCTGAGAATCTCACATGCCCCGCAGTCTGCCATAAAATGTCCGTCCAGCAGGGATCGCTGTACAGAAAATCTGCGTCAGCCGTCTTGGCTGCTCTCACACGCTTCGCTGATGTGAACGTCTGGTCGTAGACGATGCTCCACCTCTGGCCTCCTTCGAGGTATTTGAGGATCTTCTCGGCGGCACCGATTTTGGTCATGCCGTCGCTCAGCTGCTGATCCGAGTTGCACCATCGGACCGTTGTCTTCTGCTCTTCAAGGTGCTGTGAAAGTCCAAGCACTTCCAGAGCAGTATGTTTGTCACGGGCTCCAAGGTGCGGGATGTCCTTCTGCATCAGCATGTCGTAGAGGGCCTTTGCGTCGATGACGACGGCCGCCGGGGTCTGTTTGGCGGTCTGCTCAGGAGCCTTGAGGTTCACTTCCTTACCCAACAGCTCCTGCCAAAGCACCCTAATCAGGAACATCTCAGCCTCGCACTCAGCCAGTGCCTGAGCTTCAGCTCCAAGACTGGAGCGGCAAATCCTCTTCAGCTTGTGAGTGCTCCAACTCACAAGACTTATATATCGGTCCAGCCTCGCCCTTCTCAAGCATCTTCTTGTGGGCAAAGCCGATGATGTAGCCACCAGTGGACGACAAATCCACACGATTTGCCAGAGCAGCGTCTGACCAGCCAAGGAGGACAATCTCGTCATCCTCAGAAGCGTGCAAGTTGAAGACAGAGATCTTGGTGTTCGCCTGGTGGTAAATCTCCCTGACGAATTTATTGATGTCCTTCAAAGTAGTTCTGTCTCCTCTCGCGATCATGCTCTGCAAATGTGACAGCTTTGCACAGTGCTGCGGTGCTGTCTGGTAGCATCGCCATTGGGCTGCCCCGAGCACGGCTCTGCATTGATGCTGCTCGTTGGGCGTCAGATCCTTTGTTTTTCCATCTTCTTCAACTTGACTCAATCCTTTGCAGAACTCCTCCTGGGTGAGATGCCAATGTCCATGAGCATCTTGTTCAAGTAGGACTCCACAATGATTGAAGGGTCCAACCTCCCATGGTGACCATCTCAGGCTCTCGTGGAAGTTCTGGAGGAAGGTCTGCCAAAGTGGATTGTGCTGACCTCCAATGAGCAGGAAATCGTCAACGTGAGCTCCAACTGCCCCGTGAACTGTAACTCTTCCTTGCTCATCTTTCGTCTTCAAAATCCAAATGCTGGGATCAGTCTTCAGCCTCGAAAGTCCAAGGAGGCATAGAATGTCATCCACCATGATGTAGAATTCCCTTGGCGCAACCGTAAGTCCATAGGCTGCCTTGAGGAACTGGACGGCTTGTCCTTTCTTCAGATTCATGGCCTCTTGGAGTTCTCACACCGGCATCCCAAAGATCTGCCTCTTCAGTTGAGTCTCCTTTCCTTGGAGGAAAGCAGCTTTTGCGTCTGCTTTCAGGGACTCCCAACCACGATGGCTCGCCAGTTGAAGTAGAGCTTGTCGGCCTCGTCGAGTCAGGGTCGGACTCCTGGTAGGGTCTTGCCCCAAATCGGGGTCTGTAAAACCTACCACCACCAGTCGAGCTTTTGCCTTCACCTGGTTGGGGTCGTCCGTGGCCTTGAAAACCAAGACCCATCTCATCTTCATGAGTCGATGAGGTGGTACTTCTCCCAGAGCAGCTCGGCAGACGCGGGATTTGACCCACTCGTTGATCTCCACTTGCTTTGCCTCACCCATCGCTTTCCTTTGCTCCTCTGACAACTTCTGCCATGACACCTCCACACCCTTGGCAACTCGCTTTGCCACAAATCGTGAAGGGTCTTTGACGATGGACCTCCACTCAGCCTCAGAGCTCGGAGTTGGCAAGGTGACCGCGAAGGCATACTCATCAAAGTTGATGGTGTCCAGGAAGTAGTCAGGGTTCTCCTCATCCTCAAGCTTCTCGTTGTAGTGAGCTCCGCCATGAAGGAATTCTTGTCGTTGAACATGATGAGGTCTCTCTCCCATCTCATGGCGTCTTCGGGCTTCCAGAAACTGAGGATGTTTGAAGAGTGGGCCATTCTCGTTGGCACCAAAAGGAAAGTGATCTCGCCCATGAAGGACTCCATCTGCATCCCATTCAGGTGGAACTTGATGACGTGGATCTCCTTCTGCGTCCTCAATCTCAGTGTCTTCGTCATCCACGATCTCCTCGTCCTGTTCATGGGTTGGTGAGGTTGTTCTTTGCCTTGTAGCATCTTGAGACAAAGCTGTCTGCCCCGTAAGTCCAAGTCCATCAGGCTGCAGCTGCCTCTTGATGCTCGATCTTTCTGTTCTCAGCTCCTCATCCCACTGGGCTCGCACTCGTCGGGCGTCTGCCTCAAGTTGACGCTCCGTCATGACCTCGTCGTCATACTCGCCCTTGTTGGTGAGTTGAGAAAGATCTTGAAAAGTCCATGGCAAAGTCAGTTGGCTTGTGCCTTCAGCCACCACACGTTCTCGAGGGCTAGCATGCCTCAACTGGGTGGTCGACACCTTCTTGAGTCTGCTGCTAGCAATGATCCAAGCGTTGGAAGATGGCTGTCTAACATGGCCATCATAGCTCACCTTGGTCTCCACAGCTAGGATCCTGGCAGGCCCATACCATCGAGCAACTTTGCGTCGTGGGATGTCAAGTCGTTGATGGGATCTCTCAGCCTTGTTGGATGGTGGCTGATACCTCTTGTAGTACACCAAGGCGCAAGGTTCGTAACGAACAGGTCGTGGCATTTTGGTGTTGGCTGCCATGTTCACCTTCTGTCTGATGGTGATTTCTCTGTGGGCTTTCTCGGCCTCCAGCTTGCATTGGAGCTTGTGTTGCATGCGAGCAGAGCTTGACATTCCGCTCCAGTAGGGCAAGTCAGGCCCATCATGCAACCTTTCGGACTGAGAAAAGTTTCGTCCAAACACCCATTGTGCTGGGGTGTACCCTGCAACATTGGCCATGGTGTTATGGGCTCCCATCATCGCCCAAACTGCTACCTCAGGTGAGGCGTCGGATGATCGCAGGTGCGTCATCAGCTTCTGCTTCAAAGTTCCAATCATCCGTTCAGCTTGGCCAATTTGTCCGTGGCATTCTGCAGGGATGGCCTCAACTTCCAGTCCATGGCTCTCGGCCCATTCTTCAAGTTCTCGGCCGCGATGAGCTCCTTCCTTGTCCAGCTTCAGAATCTTCGGGTAGCCGAAGTACTGGATCCATCCTTTGTAGAAGGCCTCGATGGATTCCAGGCTCGTAGCATTGCGGCTACAGCCAGGAGCAGCATCATGCTTGAAAAGGAAGGTGGCCGCCCCGTAGCCTGAAGCTTCATCCACCGCAATCTGGAAGTGGAAGGTTTCCTCGCCCACAGTAATCTCCATGTTGTCGAGCTGCACCTCCTCCCATAGCTCCGTCGCCTGTTCCAACGTCACCGCTCTCCTCGAAGGTGGAATTGCAGCTTCCTGGCAGTCCTGGCAATGGACGATGGATGCCAGCGTTCTGATCAGCAGACTGGCACCTCTGTCCTTGAGCATCCGCACGAAGGCCTGTCGGCTGGGATGTCCAAGCTTCTTGTGGAGCATCAGAACCTCCAGTGCTGTAGACTGCACCTCCTGGTCGGTGAACTGCTTCAGCACATCCGGGTTGCAGTCAGGCACCTCCTCCAATGCGTAGGCCTGCGCAACTCGGTCATAGTGGACCTCTTCCACCATCTTTGCAATCTGCAAGCACATCTTGGCCGGGTAGAAGGCCGTCATCCTTGTGAGAGCTCCTCCTTCACAAGGAACATGAGGTTCTTGGCATTGACATAGATTTTGCAGCTTCCACACTCGCTTGGTAGTTGCCCTCAACCTCCAGGGCTTCTTGATGAGTCCGCCACATGGAGCTCGAAGTCCATATGCGCATCCATCGACGGTTGCCTCCTGGAAAGGCATGGTGTTCCAGTAGGCTTGAATGCTTCTGAAAGTCCAGCCCTTGTTGTAGCGCGGCCATTCCTGAACCACTTCACCTCCTTGAGATTGTTGAAGTTCCATCAGCGTCACGGCCTTGGCTGCAAGACGTTGGACTGAGCAACCTTCTTCTCGACCTTCGCCTTGCCTTCAGGAGTAAGTTTGTTGAGCTCCTGAATGCTTGAAGTTGGGCCACAAGGCAGTGACACCCAAACCACATCTGGCCGCTCGTCCACGATGAGGTTGTAGACCTTGTGGAAGCCGCTCTTCTTGTTGAGGTCGCATCCATTGAAAAGTCCACACCGGATGCCAATTCCTCCTCTTGCTTCAACGGCCTTGGTAATGCCGCTGTCATCTTCACAGCACAGCTCCAAAACCTTTGGGGCCTTATAGTCAGGGGACATGGCATTCAGTGAGACGAAGATCTCGTCAAGGGCCTCGTTATACTGTGTGACCTCCTCAACCAAGAAGGACGTCTCCTCAGGCTTCAGCTTCTCCGTCACAACCTCGTCCTCTTCAGGCTCATAGTTGGACTTCCGCTTCCTCCGAAGCGTGTGTCCTGGTGGCAAAATGCCGCCGGGTGTGAAACTTGTCGATCGTCGCAGCTCCTCTGCGACCATTCCTCCACCATGGTGACCATTGTCGTGCTCGTAGAGGTCGTAGTTGGTGGACGTCATCCCAATTGCCATAGAGCTCGATGAAGTCGAATTCCGTGCTGGTGACACTGTTGCTCCTGTCTCCAGCTTCTCAGGCTTGGCCTCATTCGCCATGTTCAGCTCGGGTTGCTGCCTGGTGGTGAGGACACCAGACTCCAGTGGTCCTTCTCGTCCTGATTGCCCCGCTGGTTGTACTTCAAGTTCTCCGGTGCTTCGTCCGCTCGGCGTGTCTTCCTGCCGGGCGTCTGGTACATCTCCTCCTCGCAGTCGATCACCGCCTCGGTCTTCTTGGGCACGACGCCTTGGGAAGTTGGTGCCAAAGGCGTTGAAGACTGGCCTTGGTGGCCATGGTCGGTATTCACGGGACCTCCTTGGCTGTTCTTCAAAGTCCCAGTGTGCCCTTTGTGGGCTTGGAGATCTTTCTGGCGCTGGCTCTGGATCCATGCTGCCTTCTCTTGCTTGATCCTCTCCAGCTTGTCCTCCAGTGATCTCTCCTGGGCGTCGTAGGCTATCTTCTTGTTGTTCAGGTCTGGTGATCCCTTGACCGGCTTCTTCTCTTCCAGCTGCTTCTTCACATCCTGCTGGAGTGGTCCTGCATGTCGGGACCGTGGGCACCAAATGCCGGCGTGTAAGCCAGCCTCAGGCCACACGCTTGGCACGCCACCCAAGTCCCGCTGGCGTTGCACCCAGTCGGGCTGCCGCGGCCTGGTTTGGCCGGTTGGTGCTCCCCATAGCACGGTGGCCCCGTGCACCGAGGGTCGTCTGTCCTCGGCCCTTCCGTCCTCTGGTAGTCGTACCTCTCTGTGGCCGGGACCTTGGTCTTGGAGTCCACCTTCTCCCTCTTGGGCGCCATGGCCACGAGGTGAGCGTTCACGGTCGGAACTGGCTCGGGCAAGAGATTCGAGAATCTCGTCCCTCATAGCTTGATCCACCTGCTGCAGTGGTTGATGATGATGTCCCGGGTTCATCATGAACACGGCCTCATGTTGTAATTCATCTTCATCATCATCTCCATCTCCACCATCAGCAGTCATCCAAACATCTTCACAATCATGAACAACATCACCAACGGCTTCAGCAACATGACACGGAGAGCATGTACATGGTGCGTCATGTGAAGAGGGCATGAAGGAGACAGGATGTGGCAGGACATCAAGTTGTGTGTTCTCCTCCAAATTCTGCACCATGTATGCTCGAGCGCTCTCACGATTGTCATGAAGTGGTTGGCTCAAACTCAACCAATCCTCAGTGAGACTAACTACAAGGTGGCCAGCTTTGGTGCGCCTCAAAGGAATTTTGGCCTTTGGCGCAACGCAGCTCAAAACCATCCAGCCACTGACATCAATCACTGCTCCAAGACGAAGCAGGGTCTTCATTCCAATTAGGATGGGAACCTTCTCCGCATCCAAAGTAAACATGCCCAAGAGCAAGGTCTGGGATCCAACCTTCTGCGGCACCAAGATGTAGCTACTGCTCATCTGAACTCCCCCATTCCCAAACCGGAATGGCTTCCTGGCTGAAGGTCCATGGAAGACCTCAACCTGATCTTCTTTTCCACGAAGTTGAGCTCGAAGCCGCATCAGGTTCTCCACAGCCTCCAAGCTCCCCACTGTCTCTGTGGCCCCAAGGTCGAGCACCCCGTAACCTTCAGTGTTGTAGAGCACCTCATCCTCTCGTAGCACCATGCCAATGAAGGCCAAAGGTGAAGAAGTCATTGACTCCACCCAGAAAGTGCCCTTCTTGGTGCCCTTGCCAAAGGTTGAACTGGTAGAAGTGCTCGATCTCTTCGGGCAATTGCGAAACCCATGTCCTCGATCTCCACACACGAAACATCCAGTACCGGAGGTCGTTGTGCTCCCGTCAGAACCTTGGGCCGCAAACAGCGGTTTCGGTGATGCCGTAGAGCTCGGAGATGATGTAGTGTTGAAGCCTTTGCCCTTCTTTCCTTTCTTCCCTTTTCCAGAACCCTTCTTGCCCTTCATCATGGACAAGGGGTAGAAGCCTCGGCTGACTCCTTTGGCTCTTTGGAAGTTCCTGGATTGTTTGAAGGTGTTCATCTTGTTCTCGTAGACGGCATAGGCTTCCTCCAACTCCTTCTTCTCCTCAGCAGAGAAGCCTTCCGTCTCCGGTTCATCCAGGGACCAATAGATGCCATACCCATCGGTCTCCAACCAGTAACCTTCTCCATCTCGTACATATCCATGCCAGCCATCGTAGTCGAAGTGCCAGTAGACCTCGTCATCCTCATAGTGCTCCTCAGTGGTGTAGGAAGATGGCGCGTAGACATCAGCAGGCAGCTGATTGCCTACCCAGTGAATCTCAGCTCCATCGTCCAGGGTGTCTTCAGCTGAGGTGAGAAGACCCCAGTTACCATCTTCTTCAACCCAGAAAGACCTTCGTCGGCCTTGTCCTCCAGACCTATTGGCGTCAGCCTGGAGTAGCTCTTCCTCTAAGGCAACCTCCAGGTCTCCAAACTTCAGTGAGTTGTTCACTGAGGCTTGCACTGACAGTCGACTGGCTGCTGAGAGGTTTGCACGCCTCAACAACAACCAGCCCAAGATCTCATCCGGCAAGACCTCCAAGTTCTCTGTCTGGAGCGTCCCAGGGGTAGTCTTCGCCACTGGAAGTCTCATCATCTTCATACCATTCCTGGCGTCGCTGCTTCCTCCATGTCTTCCATTGTTCTTCTGTCCAATCTTCATGTCCTGGATCAGGCTCGGACTCCTCGGGCACAGGCTCGTAGTCACCGCGACCATCGCCTTCATCTTGATGAACTTCTCCATCACCCGCATCTTGCATCCTCGAAGTAGGGCTCGTCGGTGGTCGGCCAGTAGGGCTCGAGGTGGGTCTCCTTGGTCTTGATGGCGATCTCATCGTCGGCGATGTAGGTCTTGAAGGTGGTTCTCTATGGGGCTCTGACACCGTGGCTTTCTCATCAACCTCCTTGCCCCTCTGCTGCTGCCTAGCACGGATAAGTGCCCTTTGCACCTTCCGGTAGGCCTCCATCACTTCGTTGGCCCATTGGGACATCGGCATACCCAATGGCCTCTTCAAACGGATCAAAAGATCCTCCAACCTCGCGCCTGCGTCAGGAACAGCTGTCCTGCACAAGCGTTCCTTCAAGAACTTCAACAGGTACTTCGTGCCATTGCGCTTTCCCAATCGTCGGTGGTCCAACGAAGGTGTGATTGCCCATGCCCTCGCCGTCAGTCTCGAAGCAAGCTCTGGCCCCAGACGTGCACGTTTGTGACATGGGGTCATCTCCCAATGAAGACGTACACGGCGAGAGTAGTCTCCCCAGGCCGAAGGCTCTCCATCCCATGTTGCCAGCTCCTTGGAACTCTTCGAGGTCGACATAGCTCCTCTCAGCTCCTCTCGCTCCTGTAGGGCTCTTCAAGGAAGTAGGGCTAGCGTAGTCGTAGATGAAGTCACCGTAGGGCAAGTCCAGAATGTCAAAGGACCGCAAGACGTAGTGCCCCAGCCAGCAAGCTGGAGCCGCCCAGCAGACCGCCGGGCTCCGCTACCAATGCGAGGTAGCCCTTTGTGCAGGCACTAGAAACTTGTTACACTTCTCGATTTCCACCTGCAAGCTCAGCTGCACAGCACGCGGTTTTCCGCTATGGCGTTGGGTGTATCACCCAGTCAGACCTTACAGAAGGTCAGGCGTTTCAAGTGCCTGGTATTGGCAAAAGGGATCCCTGAGCCACAGGGCAAGGTCATTCACACCTGTGGCAAATGAGTCCGGAATGACATGTTATGGCTGACTGACCTCAGTACCTGTGCCTGAGAATCTCACATTGCTTATCATGTTTAATTAGCCATGTTCTCCACATCATTCACTGATGATAAGTTTATTGGAAGATCCCTGGTGGAGTTTCTTGGCAGCCCAAACTGCCAGCTAGTCACGATCTTGTTGGGTGGAAAGCTGTACTCTGACACAGGAACGCCAGCCCGCCGCAAGTAGTGCAGGAACCCGAGCTCCTACAGGGAAGTCAAAAGACCGGTGAGCTTCAACAGCTTCCAGTGGAAAGACTGGATAAATGACCTGCAACATGTCAATTGATATTCTAGTCTGCTGATGTTTGCTGGCATCAGAAAGATATTTTGGCGAAATTTATGTATCTGCAAAATAGCACGTCGTTCCTAACAATTTGGTTACATATATGCATGCATGTATCAGGTTTGGAAACAGATGCCATGCCATTGAACAAGCCATCTCCTCAGGCATCAAGAAAAGCAATGCTTTTCCTTTTCCGCTGGCACCTCTGGCTGTACGGCCTACTCGATGGATGTACTCCTCGCAGGGTTTTGGTGGTTTGAACCGCAGTAGATCGCAGTAGCAGCCTTTCAAGTGTGACAAGCTTTAAAGCTCTCCTTGGGTTCATCCGGCGGATCGTACCTTCGGAGCAACACATCTGGATCAGTTTAAGACTTAAGGTGTCTGTATCAGTCTGGTGCTTCAGCCTCGAAATGTCAGCAGCAGGGATCTCTCCCCCATGCCAATCCAATCTTGCAGATGACAAAGCAATACATGAGACTGTGGATGGAAGAAATCCTGTACCACCTTGGATGGTTGAGAGATAATGGGATCAGCCACCTATCATGGCTGCAGCCGTGTCACTGCACAATCCAATCCACTTTGGGAATGTCGAGGCCACGAGCCGCCACATCAGTGCAAAGGAGAATCCCCTTGTCTGCGCTGCAGAACTGATAATACCTCGGCAGGATGTGCCGCAACATGTGGCAACCCTGAATCTATTTGAGGCCCAAGGGTAAGGGACGAAAGCTTGGCAGGGAGCTTGGCATGAAAACACCCCATGATGCTGAGGATGCGGATGCTGCTGATTTTAAGCCCCATTATCCCCATTCTGCCCCATTCCCTCACAGTGAAACCTCACAGTGAAACCACAGCAGCAATCTGAAACCTCCGCAAGCAGGGCACGTGGAAGTTCTGGCCTGCTGCTTTTTGTGGCCATGAATGCAGTTCACCGGAACATCAATGTAGTTCAGCAGCTCATCATGGAACCTCAGCAATTCATATGGATGGAAGAGAACCACTGGTGCAACGTGGTATAAACTCAACAGTGAACCCAATAAAAGTAATAGTAAACTACTACCATTTGGGGAAACTTATGGAAACTTCATACCACCCAGTGTGCTGCCAAAACGCTTGACTGCATTGCAAGCAGACATGAACACCATGACTTTCTTGTCCTTGTTCCTCTTCAAGAAAGTGAACAAGAGCAAAAACCTGCTTTCCGCCGGGCAAACCACATATCCCTGCGTCAAGCCAGCCACTGTCGAGACGTTGTCCTTTGTCTTCACCTCCACAAAAACGGGTTTGTTCAGTGACAAGCGGGCCAAGTCGGCCACCTTTCGAGTTTGGGTGGCTGAGAACAGTGAGGTTTGTCGCTTTTTGGGCAGGAGTTTGATGATCATGTTCATCTCCTGGGAGTTGCGACCCAAGGGGGATCCAAGATGATCCAAGAAATTACAGCCTTTCCTTCTTGAACCACTGGACGGCGGCATGTGTGTTCTGTTATTCTGTTGTGTCTTAAGTTTCAACCCTCCTGAGCCATAACCCTCCAAACCACTGTAGTAGGGATACTGTACTAGTCTGAACTAGTTCCCACATGGTGCATCACCCAGTGGCAAAATACAAAATCATCGACTCAACAACTCCAAGTCTCCTCTTCAAAGCCCACTTCCAAAATACGATCTGCCTCGTCGATGGTCAAATTCACCAAGTTGTGATAGATAAATCCCTTGGTATTCTGCATGTGATCCAAAAGCCGTCCAGGTGTTGCCACCAAAATGTTGATCCCCTTGGACAGCTTCTCGGCCTCCGGCTTACGGTTCATGCCACCCACCACCACTGCGATGGACTGGGACATGTATTTGGAGATGTTTCGAAGGACATCATAAATCTGCTGTGCCAGCTCCCTGGTGGGAGAGATGGCGATCACACCAGCACCATTTCCTGAGAAAAAAGTCCCATATGAAAATCTGGGAGCAAGTGGCATAGCTCTTGCCTAATCCGGTTATTAAAGACAAAAGTTGATAATGAATGATCCATCGCAACCTCCTGCTTAGACTGCTTAGATCTAAATATAATCTTTGGATGTTTGAATAGCTTTAGCATCTTCCCTGAGAAGCCATGCCATTGCCATCCTTTGCCATCCTTTGCCATCCTTTGCCTGCCAAGGTGCTGGGCAGGAACTTCACGTTGTATAACAAGTCGCATGCCGGAACCAGAAATGCCAAGGTCTTCCCACTGCCGGTCTTTGCGGCCGCCAGAACCTTGGGCTTAGGCCAGGGATGGCTCGCCAATGATTGGGTTTCATGGTATATTATGGGGCGTTCTTTAAAATGGTGGGCCCGCAAGTTATCATCGAAACCAAATGGTTTGGGGGTCCCCCAGCTCCGGAACCCCCATCTGTTTTCTACAGTAGATGCTCCAGTAGCTGCAGGTGAGCGAACTAAAAATCAGATCTTCTGGGCACATGTGTTCCAAGACGAGTGGCATCCTTGCCGTTGAGAAGGTGTGGAATCGACTTCGCCTGGATTTCTGTCATGATCTCGAACTTGGCTTCTTTCAATGCCTCTCAAGGCTGAATGCCCATGGTCAGAAAGAAGGACTGGTCACTAGGAATCACAGGAATATCCAAGAATCAATTAATCAAAAAAAAAACATGGAAACCCGAAGCATCCAAATTCCAAGCATGTCGTTCACCCTTTGTCAGGGCCTTCTTCAAAGGATCGCAGATTTCCAGCGCGTCAAAGCGGCTCTCACTAAAGAAACCAGCATGATGAATTGATTTCCTGAGGCGCAGGGCTTGAAGGCCCATGAAGAAACCCTCAGACTGGCTGGGTATACCCATAAACCACCGCAATGTTTACTAAGCGTAAACTGTTCAACATCTCCCAAAGAAATGCGGACCCTTCACTGCGCAGGATACCAAAGGATATATATATATAAGATGATCAAAGATGTATTTCCATTAAGATAGCAAAATATAATAAAGCCTCAGTATAACAAAGTACACTGGCCCCTCATACCCACCACGATATCATGATTTCACCATGATTAATTCCCAGCAGCTGCATGTCATGCAACTCTTGTCCAGACGGACCTTCCTCCTCACCAAAGGCAGCTGGGAACCAGCAGAAATGTTTGGCATTCGGGACTCGATGATAAACAGGGAAACGCTAAGATTGTGAGAGAGTCTAAGGGATGTGAAATGGACAGCGCTTTCCAGGTCTCATGGTTTCTCCTTTGGCTTTTCAGCCTCAACCTCGTCTTCTGCATTGTCACTCTCTTCAGACTGAGCAGGTTCTTCATTTTGGGCCTTCGAGGCCTTCTTTTTCTTTTTGCCTTGAGGTGGAATCAACAGCCAGGGACGGAGTTTCACCAGGATCAAAGAACTTTGCTACGGCCCCTCGCTCTCTCTCTCTCTCTCTCTTTCTATCTCTCTCCCCTTATCTCCAAATATAAAGCACAAACGCACACACACACACCCACATACATGCCATACCATACCATTCCATTCCATTAACATAACATAACATAACATAACATAACATACATACGTGCTTTTATATATATATATATACATATACATATACCCGTACAATGTGTTCTTTAGATGTATGTGTTCAACGTAATTCATCCAAGCTACTTTTTTTCTTGGGTGGTTCTTGTTCTTCAGCCTTTTGGTCAGCTTCTGCTGGGGCTACATCCTCATCGTTCTTTCCCTGCCGGAGCCAAGGCTTGCAACATCTGTTGAAAGAGTGCCTAAGTTGACACACACACACATATATATATATAATAAATGTATCTATAATATATTATATATATGTATATGTATATTATATATGTATATGTATATATGTATATTATATATGTAATGACATGTGATATATACTCTCTTTGGAGTAAAGTGTGTCCAAGCCCATCCCAAAGAAACTGGTGACTTCGCGCCTTCTTTTTCCGTTTCTTTCCTTTCTTCGCCGGCTCTTCTTTCACGGGCTCAGGAGGCTGGTAGTCCTGGCAGCACGAAGCTACTGCCGGGCCCTTCACACTTTGTCCCCCAAGCAACATCCAATCTTCCATGACATCCTGCCTTCCCATCGTCCATGATAGCCTCGCCATCATCTTCTGACTCGCTGCTGGGCAATCCTTTTTCTCTTCTTTGTGCCCTTGCAGCCTGATAACGGATTCCCTACCCAATAGTCATCACATGTCATGGCACCGTCAACTCCAATGCAACAGTTTCATACATTTCCGAAGAGAAAGCCGGCCTCTTTTGCCTCCTGCTTCTTCAGCTTGCGCTTTTCTCTCCTTTCTTTCCACTTTTCCTTAGGCAAATGGCTAGCGGGCAAACTAAGGAGCTTCAGCAACTCCAGTGGTTCAACCTGGACCCAAACTGAGAGAAATCCCGTTCCTGCAAGTCGTTTCATGCCCCTCACGACTTTAGTAGCTCAATGAGCTTTCCAGCTCATGCCAACCCAAATCATGATTCAATTTTTAATTATTCTGCAGTTCCAGCCCCATCCTTTTGCCAGCATGGTTCTGCTTTGATTGGCTTAGTAATCACATAGAGCGCGGGTTTCTCTTTCTCCTCCTCAACGGCCATTTTGTGCCTGTAAGGGGTGTGCCCAGTGGAAGACATGATCAAACCACTGTGCAACATAGCAACCAATCTTCAGTATCACGGGACATCATGGGCAAGTCTTGCATCACATGATGTTAAATGATACTTAGTATACATGAGTGCCAAACACATCCAAACACACCTTTACTAGTCAGTTTCAATTTGAGTTGAAATTCTGTCCAAATAAATCAAATATATAATCAATGATAGTATAGCTGGTACTGGCACCTCTCTCACGGGTGAGGCTTTGCCAGATGCTCCGAGCCAAAAAACAAAGAGGAAGGTGTGGAGAGCAGGACCCCCTTTCCAGACTTGCAGGGTCGGTCAAAGTATGTCAGAGTGCACAAATATTGAACGGCGGAAAATGTTGCAAAGTTGATTTTGAATATGATGAATATGGAAGCGTTCAAAGAAAAGAATGGAAGGTGAAGTTCCGTCACAACTCGGCAAATTTTAATTGCCTAGGCCAAGATCAGGCAGCAAAGTGCCACCAGGCTCGACCGAAATCCAGGCTTCACAGTCAAGGTTTTTTTCAGTGATTCGAGAAAGCTGCGCACACTAATTAAATGACATGATGTCCAAGTCATGCAATCCGGAACAGCGCCAGCTAAGCTTGGGGCGGACGAGATCGGCTATCAGACTGGTGCCAGTCTCTTTCATCCTGTTCTCGGACATTTTGCGCATTTTGGATATGCCAATCCAAGCGAACAAGGCTTAGCTCGTGCGCACAGCCCACCAAAGAAATCGGTTGATGCTGCTCTTTGATGAATGGCATCAAGGGAAATACCGTCAAGCCTGGATCACGAATCCCCTGAGTGGATACTTTTTTAAGCTGTGTCCCTTTCAATATAGTTCAATGGCACCCAACCCCAAGAAAAATCGCAATCAGCCAGGGGTAGCCAGGCAGCCTTCCAGTCGGACCGCCAGGACTGATAGCCCCCGGCATAGACCTGTCTGGACCTGCGCCAAGTCAATGACTGATAATGATTGGTTGAGATGGGACTAATTATATGGATCTGGTAACACCTGATGGTTCTTGCATCAAAAATTCAAAATCTGTATATTATATATATAGTTGGGAGATGTTGGGAGTTATGCGTGCTTTATGGCTGCTCATCCCCAAGATGTTGTCATAGGTTTCGAATCAGTTTGACGATGTTTGACGCAGCCCGCCCTTGATAGATTGAAAGTGTTGGTGAATGGTGCTGGACTCTCAGGATTTCTCAGGTGTGCCTGCTATCAGTTCGACGGTCGTGCCATCCGCGGTCATAGTTCCAATTGTCTCGTGGCGTATACGACTGAGTGAACAGTGTGCAGACTAATTCAATCTAATTCACCTATCACTGCCTGTCAGACTCTGGTCATTTAACGACTCTGGCTGGTCATTTAGCTCAAAAACTGTGAAAGTCTGTCCTAGTTTTTCTCCCCGTCAGCCAGGTTGAACATCAAACACTCGTAGTCAGTTGTAGTCAAAAACAGTGGGAGTTGTGGGATCAGATTGAATCATCGCCTCGATGGCGGTCAGCCCTGTCTCGTGCCTCCGGTGCGCAGCTGTGCTCAAAATTGTGACTGTCAGCACTCATCCAAAAAATGCGCCACACTCATCAATTCATAAAACATCTTTGGCCTTATCAAAGGAAATTTACTGTAGTAGCAAATTTCCGACTTGCGGACGAATGGCCATGGCTGCTTTTCACATCATCATGTCAACCACATCATATCAAGTAGTTGGGAGCTGGAGCAGTAGATCAGAGCGACATTCCAGGAGTGTGTGAATTTGCACGTGAAAGTGTGAAACAATGGAAGTGCGCGACCACCAGGTTTTTACAGGTATGATTCGGCATGATGGCTCGCCAAGGGAGGGTCTGTGTTTCCGCAGATCTGGCAAAGCTGTCAACAAAAAGCGCACGAGACTGTAGTGAGAGCTCAGTTTCACGAAAAAATGTTGAAAGAACTGAAGGGTAGAGACCACTTTTGGAAGATGAGGTCCGAAAAATGTGGTGGAGACTCCAGTGAGAGTTCGACTTGTTCAAAATGTGAGAATTTCACGTGCCTGGACCAGTGCCGGATTTGTGCGCCGGCGATTTCAGGTCCGAAATGGCGTCCATTTGTTGCTGCATCCGTGTCTTGCGGGATTGCAACTGGAGGTGACGAAACGCATTGGCACGGCTGCGGGCCAGAAAGTGTTCGTGATGCTGCAACTCTCCCCGCTAACGCTTTGTAATGGTTGCGCCAAAGGAAGAATTGGGTTGCAGAAGTTAGCCCAGAGAAGTAGCTGAGGGAGGTCAGAGCAGAGGCGGGTCAAAGAAGTAGCCCAGATAAGAGGCAGCTGAGAGAAGAGGTATCTCAAGGAGGTTGCTCAGTGAAGAGCCGGTTCAGCAAAGAAGTGGCTCAGTGGTGTTCAGCGAGGAGAAAACTTGGCGTAGGGAATCGGTAGCTCAACGAAGAAATAGTTCGTTCATTGGTTCCTTCGTTCATTTATTCATTGATTGGTTCGTGGGTTGATTCATTCGTTCAGCCGTTTGTCCGTTCATTCATTCGTTTGTTCATTCATTCATTCATTCATTTCATTTCATTTCATGTCATTTGGTTTTGTTTCATTTCATGCCATTCCGTTACATTCCACTCCATTCCGTTACATTCCATTCATTCATTCATTTCATTCATTTGTTCAATTCATTCATTCAGTCAGTCAGTCGATCAGTCATTCATTCAATCAGAAATCCTTCATTTATATATTTCATTCATTCATTTCATTCACTTTATTCATTTCAGTAATCATTAATTCATTCGTTCATTCATTCATTTCAGTTCAGTTCAGTTCATTTCAAGTCAATTCAATTTCAATTTCAATTCATTCATTCACTCATTTATAGATTCATTCATTCGTTCCATTCGTTCCATTTGTTCATTCGTTCATTCATTCATTCATTTCATCCATTCATTCATTTCATTTCGGTTCATTTCAGTTCATTTCAAGTCAATTTCAATTCTTTCATTCATTGAATCATTCATATATTCATTCATTCATTCATTCATTCATTCATTCATTCATTCATTTCATTCATTCATTCATTCATTTCATTCATTCATTCATTCATTCATTCATTCATACACTCATTCATTCATCCCTTCCGTTCATTCATTCATTCATCTCATCTCATCTCATCTCATTTCATTTCATACATTCATGCTATTTCATGTCATGTCATTTCATTTCTGGTCATGTCATGTCATTTCATTCGTTCACTCATTCATGTGATTTCACGTCATTTCATGTCATAATATAATTTAATTTAATTCATTCAGTCAGTCAGTCTTTCGTGCGTTAATTTCATGCCATTTCATTGTTCATTCATTGATGCACCTCGCAACCACCATTTTCATTGCTTCGACATCTCACAGACATCCCCTGTAGGCCAGTGATTTCTGATACATCATCGTTTTGTTTTTAAACTTCCACCCCGGCATGGCTGGGCACTACTGGTATTCTTGTATATTCGTTGACCGTGCATCTCAGAATGTCCATACCATGCTGTAGCACCGGCTCACTTCCGAGGTCTGGGCCCTAGAAGGTGTTCGGGAATAAGCTCTACCCTGCAGAAGGCAAAAGCAAGAAACGGCAAAAAAAGGTGACAATTTCAGCAAAAAAGAAGGCATGCGTAACACTGCCTTTTGTAGCAAACTAACCCTCACATATTGCTATCCACTTTTTACCCGAAGATGTCCGAAGTCAAATTTCCATAAATTTCGGAGGTCTGCCTCAGCTTCACTGCTCAAGCTTCACTGTCTGCATGGCTACGTTCTTTCATATTCCAATGGATTTTCATGGGTTAATCCCATCCCCCTAGCTTTTAACATCTTTTAACAATCCTGCTAGTATTGGATCTATATTCATGTTGGGTCCCTTCTGAATGGTATCTAATATTAGGATATATTAGGGGGATGGGGTAAATCCATCAAAAAAGAAGGAACATGAAAGAACATAAGCCTGAGAGAACCTAAAGCTGGGGGCATTCAATATCATCATATAAAGGCTTTAAAGGGACGGGATTAGGGACTTCAGCGTCGTTCCCAGGATCACCGCCCTATGCCTGGGAATGGTCTCGGTACCTGGAGACTTGTTGCCAAGCCTGGCGTGGCTTGGGCGTTGCAGTTCTGAATTCGCCGCCACCAAGTGCTGAACAATGATGGTGGGACTGGTAGCAGGGATAGTTGATGATGATGGCCATGCTGATGGTGGTGATGATCATGGTGGTGGTGGTGGTGGCGGCGATGATTGTCATATGATTGTCATATGATTTTCATTCATTACTAGTCATATTGTTGTTTTTGATGCGTTTCTATTATTAAGGTATTGGTTCCATTTTTAGTAGTAGCATTTTCATGTGACACCTTCTTGCATGTAAATATTGTCACGGGTCTACCCACAACACCTGCACTTGGTCACATTTGCCCCGCAGCCGCCTGGGGCTCAAAATCCTCGTCGTAGACGTCCCGTGACTGACCTACGACTTGGTGAGTCCTAAAAATATGGAAAGGATGGGACTGGAAATCATGGGATACCCAAACCACAAGTGCCATATGTATCCATAATTATCCATATGTTTCCCCTTGTTTCCCCCATTTGAATCACTGTCAACCATTGGATTTTTCAGGGTAAATGGTTGGGACGTGTTGGGACAGGTTGGGACATATGAATTTGACGCATGATACCACGAGAGGCACAAATGCAGCTGAGCTTGGGACGGCCCATCAAGAGCCTTAGTGGTGGACAGGTATAAGAAATATTCTGCAGAGTTGCCCCCCCCCCAAAAAAAAAAAAAAAACAGCATCAGAAAGGGAATAAGGTAGGCACAAAGCGAGAAAAGATTCTGCCAGCGGAGCAACACCGTGGCAGGTTACATGATAAAAATGATAAAATAACTGGTGCCTGCAGTTGATGTACAGTACGTGGTGCTCTTTCGAAATATCTGGCGGTAACGTTATCCGATATTGATGGAAACTGTTGGAGTCGCTTGGCTATGATGTGTGGGGTATCACTGTCGGCTGATTTTTCTTTGCTTGTTCGAGGACGCTCCCGGTTGAAAATGTGGGCGCCTCTTTGGTCATGTTTGCTGTCATATCTTGTCATCCTTTGGCCGATGGCAAGATGCACCAAAAACCATGCTCTCCCGCACCTTCCGCACCCCAACAATGCAAAAAGCACGGCAAGGCCAACATCAGCGGCAACGCCTTTTGTCGGGCGGG